TGTGTGTGCGTGATGTTTGCCACTTTGTCTTGTGGGCGGTTGCTTTTGGTAGGTTTTTGGGGGGCAGGCAGCACGTCCAGACATCGAAACAGGCTTCACAGCAATTCCGTGTGGTCAGCCGCGCATTGAACAGCAAGGTAAGCGCCTGACCTGCCGCCCGCATGATATGACACTTCGCCTTGCCTTTTTCGAGCACTGCGACTTACGGTATATTTGCGTTCTGGTGTGAATTCCATTAACCTGCCGAGACTCCTGGCACAAAGCAAAACTTCACGAGCCTTGGAAACGTTGTTGGGCGTTCTCATCGCTCTGGCCGATGGATGCACAGGGATAGCATGGGCGTTATCTCCATTCCGGAACAGACGCTTCGGCCCATGGATCAAAGTCATGGCGCCAGTGGCTATGCTGCTCATTTGAGAAGCAGTGAAGATGATTGTAGAGAGAACGCAGTTGCATGAGACATGCACAAGACACAAAAAGTGCCCATCCACAAAACAGGTAGAAACATCTGGAAAAAGCATCAGCAAACCCCAAGAAATCAAGCAGCACCCGTCAAATAGCGGACAAAACTCGGCTATTTAGGCACGAAGTGAGTGAGTGGGTGAGTGGACGGCCTGGGGTGCACTCCGGCCAACGGAAACGTTCCCTCCCGCCACTCTTCACCCCTCCACTTGCGTCATAGGGGAGAGCTGGGGAAAATGCCACCCATAAGCCCGGGGGGTGTTTGGGCACTTAGGCAAGACAGCCCACTTCACAGGAACAGAAGCTCTTCCCCCTGTGGTCACACAAAGGTACAAAGCTGGGGGCATTGGCGCGCAGACAGGGTGCGGGGTGGTCGTACCAAACACGCCTAAGGGAAAAAGCAAGGTTCAGCTAATCCCCTTTCGTCTGCACAAACTCCCACAGTATCCCCTTGGCTTGTGGGGCAATGCCGGCAACTGAAGGCACCACCCCCGACCAGAAGGGGAAATACAGGAGGAAGAAATCCACCGGAAAGCAAACCACGTGAACAACCACTGAGGGAAAACGCACACTCTCCCGACCAACAGCAACAAGCATCGACACCCAGCAAGCAACAAAAAAGGGGGTCCGGGCGGCGGAGCAAAATGAAACACGGAAACCTTCCCGTTAGAGCGCCAAGTCGTGCCGAAGCGGGTATTTGAGACTTTTCACGTGTGACCCTGTAACTCGGCCGACCGACCTGGGAGCCTGGGATCACACACCACCACAAGCATGTGGCATGACATACGCCCGCACCTTCAGATCCATGTACACTGAGGCGTGGATGACGCACGACATTTAGCCGACAGCGCCCTGGCTTTCAAAAGCATCTCGAACGGTTTGTGCTGGGCGCATCAAATCCAGACTGCACTCGAAAGTTGTCAGGGCACAGGGATCTCTCGCCTGGGCCAATTTTCTGATCTGAGCATTGGCACGGAACATGGCACGAGCGCGTTCTCGGGTAAAGGTAAAGAACTGTTGCCCCTACAACATATGAGACTGAGGATTATATCTCTGGGGCTGTTGCCTTGGGATATGCCTCAGTGCTATCCAGCTGGCATCCCTGCCTTTGGTTGGGCTCATGGCACCTATCAAGGCGCGCTTTCGCTGTTGAAGGTTTCCGCAGACATTTGGCAAAAGAGCAAGCATTCTTGTGGGGCTTTCAAGGCGGGGAGGCCTCTGAGTGCGCACTTGACCATTCTTTGTCAACAATCTAATGACAGCCGCGAAGCTGGAAAAGTGCAGCGTTCCCAGCCCCAACCATCGCGTTTTCCCAGTTAGTGCCCCGCAGTGTGTCCGAGAGAGGTCCACTAGGCGGCAGGCCAAAACAACACTTTTCTTGGCGAGTCCGTACCTGGGGCTGTCGTAAAGGAATACATTCCTGGCCCCTTTCCCCGGGAAGTACGTGCATTTGATATACAGAAAGGGACGATCCGAGCTTGCGTCAGCTACAGAAAGTTTCTGCCCATCAGAAAGCTGACATGCTTTTGCACGTTCGACACATCACTAAAGCAGAGTCTATGGCCTAACTGGACTCACTCAATATGTCTTTCTCATGCTGCTGTGATTTTATTGTTAATACACCGTCGCCAAACAGATGTTTCTGAGCCATTTGCGAACCTTTCAGAGTCGCAAATCCTTGATCAGACAGCGGATGGCCCGCTGAAGTCTTCCAGGAACAAGACATTGATGCTGTCGGTTCCTCCTGGCATTGTCGAAAGCATGGTTCTGTGCCGGAGATGGCAAGCATGTTTATTGTCGGTTCGTCCACAACGGCGAGCGTTTTTTGCCTGAAGCCACTTGAGCCGAGAACATGCGATCCATTGTGGCAACGTTGAGCTTCCCTGTTCACAATTTAATTTCCTCGGAGTCACGCGACGGACCAGATAGGGGCAGCAGGCATTCTGGCCGCATCCTTCCAACAGAGAAGGAGAGTATGTCAATGCGCAAGCATGTCATATGCGTTCGTGAGCAGGCTTTTGTGCAGCATATGTCGGTGGGCGTTTTGTATGCAATCGTTAACATGTTATAGAATCTTTTTGTACATATTCATGTCAAACGCCATTCATTCTTTCCTCCCTGCTCATTACATGCTTCCGTTACTACATCACATCGGTGCGGACGTTGGCATCTGCCTGCGTCTCTCTGTCTGTCGGTCTGTCGGTCTGTCTGTGGGTATAGGTGTTGGGGAGGGGGCCGGGGGGGGAGACGGGACGCCTACAGCACTTAGTTCGCCGCGCTCAAAATAGATTGCCCAACGTGCCCAGTCGGTCCGGCATACGCAACAGATCCGCATCGAGGCAAGTGTCCGAGATGTGGGCCATTTGGCGTGACCCACGAAAGCTGATAAAGCGATCGAACCCAAATACGTAGTACTTTCTCTCAGCCCTGAGTGCTGCTAGGCTGTCCAGCAAGCAGCCAGGGTCCCGGCGACTCTTGACTGAGCTTGGGCGTCGGTTTTTGTAGGTTTGTTGAGGTTTTGAGGGGGCGTGTCTTGCAATGCGTTGGATGAAGGAGTTGGAAATTTGGCACATTGTAGATATATAGCCATGTTGGGGGAGGGGGCTCTACAACATGGATTCGCGGGAGGACGCAATGTCGTGGTGGAAGACTCTGCCAATATCGATTCCATGGACGCATGATTCGTGCACTTGTGCCCAGGATCCTGGCAGCCTTGCTGCAGATTCTCAATGGCTCCTCAGCAGCAGAAGCCATGATAAGCCATGGATGCGCACGGAGTCGCAAAGTCGGGACAGTTTCCTGATGGATCCTGTGACGATTGCGAAACATTGACAATTTAGACATTATCTGGTGGCACAGCTGACTATTACTTGGTTGCAGGAGACAGTACGAGAATTCATGCCTGCTGTTTTCTGCCACTGGGAGTAGGACCTGCTAGGTGTTGCCAGGCCTTGGCTTGCTCAAGGAAGGGATGAAACTTTCAGCTCTGACGTCGATGAGTGTTTTTTTTGCCCAGTGGTCGTTGGGCATGCCTGGCGGAGATCCGGTGAATTCCTATCTTGAATACGATCTTCGGCTTATGGTGGTTTTTTAGCATGTTTGGCCCCCATCGCCTGCACCAGAGCTGTTGCCCTTTGCAGAGCATACAACAAAGGCGCACACAGACTTTAGGAGGCGCTTGTGTGTGTGTGTGTACCATGGTCCTCCCCCGCACACAACCTCCCAGATCCCTAACATCTCCACTTGTCATCTCCCCGCAAGGTGCAGTCTTTGCTGGAGAAGGCATCCTCCTTGGCCTCAAAGCCTACAGGCCGGAAGGGACTCGATATTTGCAGGTCTCAGACCACTTTCAGGTTTGGGATTTAGGGTTCAGGTAGTCCTTCAGGGGACTAAGGTGTTGCAGGATCTGAGGAGGGTTTTACCTAGCTGGTATCCAAAGACCCCGAGGTGGCTGGCCGCAACGAGTGGAATCGGATGCACACTTATGCAGCTTGCCGCGAATGGATTTTGTGTAGACTGCAGGTGCGGTCTTTATTGTGAAACTACTCTTGGAGCTGCTCTCGCGGAGATGTCTGATCTAAGGGTGACTGCTCTGTACGTTTCCGGAGAGGCTGCCTTGACAGGACCGTGCAATGGGCCGTTGCCAAGCTGAGATGTTGTTCCGCTAGGCTTACGGCCCTTACGGCCCGACGATTTCCTTCCCGTCATGACGAGTTGCAGAGATCGTCAGGTCGCAAGCCTTTGCCTTGGTCACTTGCTTCATTCGTCGCGTGTTTGTGAGCCAAACTTATGGTTTGGGGACTCCGAGCTCAGAGTTCAAGCAAGTGTCTCGGTTGGTTTTGGTCAAAAAAAGGGTCCGCCTCCCTCCAGGACTGTGGATTGGCCTCTTCCTCTTTAACATCTGCCGTCTGATCGGTTCCTTGAGCCACAGGTTCCGTTTCGGCCCCCTGGCTCGGAAGGAACGCGCCACGGAGGCGGCCTGAGGGCCTCGGAGCATTGGGGGTTTAGGGTTTGGGGTTTAGGGTTTAGGGTCTGGGTTAAAAAGGGTTTAGGGTTTAGGGTTTAGCTACTTTGGTGGTTTCCTTGGATGGTCTTTATGGGGAGTCAGAAGAAAAGGGGCAGCCCTCCAGTTCTAGCGAAGCTCCGGAACTGCTGCGGCGAACGCAGACCTGCGCGACGGGAGTGGAGCTTCCTGGCTGAAGTGGCAGAGTTGGTCCTTCTGCGCCAAGGGAAAGTGTTGAAGATTATATTGAAGGTAGGAAGTTTAGGTATGAATACACCCCGAGCCTCGAGCACACCCGAACCCTGTTTCCTGGAGCCTTGCTTGAGCCCCTTGTCTGCCTCAGTGCTGGATCCCTGAGATCCATAATCGCAGGCCAGGGCACATGCCCTCGTTTTCCTGTGACCTTGGTGTGATTGCAGTGATTTCAATACCCTTGGCGCCTTCGCCGCGCAAAAGTTGTGCTTCATGGTGGCCGTGCTGTTGGACTCGAAAGGCAGTCAATGTCTCCAGACTCAAGCCCGCTGCGGCAAGCCAGGCACTGGCACCTTCGTGGGCTCGAAACGCCCGCTGCTCAAATTCTCAGCACGTCGAGCTCGTGTGCGATTTTTGCCTGGGGTGTTGGATGTCGTGGCCGGGCTACATAGGGCATGGTGGCAACAACCCGATGCTCTTGGCCCAGCATTCAGAACCAAGTATTGATTCCACGCGCAGGCTGGCTACGACTTCGTATTGCCAATCGGCATCAGCCTCAGGTTGGCTGATCAGCAGAAAGTCTGAGTGCATGGAGATCCGTGGCACACAGATATGTGGTGGTCGAGTAGAAACGAACCAAGTAAGGCTAGCGGTTAGGCATTGCGGATGCCAGTTTGCAGGGGACATTCCGGCTTGTCCAGATTCCTCTAGTGGCAGATTGACTTCTTTGCAGGAGCGTGAATCCAGAACCTTCAACCTCTACCCCAATGCAGGGCTTACATCCTGAACCTAACTTAAACCTTGGACGCCCTAACCATTTGAACCGCACTTGTCCTGGCACCTAGACAGGCCAGTCCTGGGCTGTGTTTCCACAAGCTTGACTAAGTGTAAACGCTTGTGCGTGCCGCCTCGGCAGCCGGGCCGGTCCAGAGCAGGGTGCAGTATGAAACGAGACAGTGATCTTCGAGGCACCCCGGGGTTGGGGGGGGGTCCCACAAAGAGGGGGGGTGGGGGGGGCGCGTGACTAAAACCAGTGGGGAGGAAGGGTTGGGAAGGGGGCAGGAGACAGGATCCTGGTCTGTTCCAGATGCCTCTCGGCAGGAAGCCGAGGCGAATTAAAAAGACTCAATCTAGCAAGATCCGCGAAGAAAGCCACCTAAACGTTACCAAGCCCCACAAAGCCCGCCCGAGACCCAGGCTATGATCGACCCTGGGAAAGACGAGGTGCCACAGGGAATGCAGGGTTTGCGGCCGCGCGTGGCAATACCCCCCACAAGTCCACCCGGATTCGATTCTTGTACTTCAACCTAACCAAGTGGAACCTTCTCAAGGCCCCTATTGCAGAACAAGGTCGTCAATACAACTAACCCCGCTCTCTCTCTCTCTCTCTCTCTCTCGCTCTCTCTTCCCAGCAACTGCGAAGCCAATGAGAAACACATCTTGTCGAACGCATCAAAACCTAGAAGCCAGCGGCCTACACTAAACCCCAAGCGCGAAGCTTGTGAGCCAGCACGAAGGGGTGCCAGCAGATGGGCTGGAGACCGACCCGTACACTTTGCAGGCCGAGAGGGAGCTGTGCATCCTAGTGCAACCATTGTATAGATTTTTAGAATTGGGCCTGAACAATTGGGGAGGTTAGGGCTCCAGCAACAGGGTCTAGGATTCCGGCAGCAACAAGGGTTTATAGATGGCGATGGTTGGTGTTGAGGATTGTTAAAATTGTGATCCTTGTTGTTGTGAACCACGCATCGCCTGCAAGACATACGACGCTAGACTTGGCAACGTGTCCGGGCGCCCAGGAGACTGCGGGTGTGTGAGTCTGGGTTTCATTTCAATCCCTACCCGTCTCCAGCGCAAGTTCCGATGCCCAAGCTGTCCTTAACATGTCATGGGATCTGGATTACTGTTATTGGTGAGTGCATTTGCGGTTCCTTATGCATTTTGGTGAGTGTATATTTGGGGTAGTCGGAGATGTACCAAACTCTGCACCGACAAGGTACTTTAACAGCCATCATGACCACGCCCGCCCCGAGCCACGCACGCGTTCCTTTCCCTTTCACGACTTGCGCCTTTTTGTTGGCAGAGCTTGGCGAAATGGTTCTGGCTTTGATATTTTGGCAAAACGATACAGCGCAAGCGCTGCTGCTACCGACCATCAATTTTCAACTGTCTTGGAGATGGCAGCGTCTGGTCTCTTGTGTACTTTGAGCAATGTCTGGTCGTACACGACAGTGGGCTTTCTGGGGTCGACCAAGTATCAGCTAGCGCTTTAGCAATATGAAAGTGGTCATCACCGCCCTCACCTTTCGGCTGGTCTTTCGCAAGCCGCGATTAGCAGAGGTGCAATGGTCTGCTTGTAATTCTGAACGACGGGATTGAGGGTCGCCACCACTGGATGGCCTCCTGTAGCAACAACAATGAATAATGCCTACGCTTCCAAGCACGCGGATGGAGACCATTCTCGAAAGCTGGGGGGGCACTTGTGGGGAGCCACTTTGACCACAGATGGGCAAGTCGTGCGCTTGGTATTATTGCGACAATATTGTCAAGATCTTAGCCAACAGGGCGACAGTCATTGCATCCGCAATGTTCGATGAAGCACTGCCTGTCAAGCCGCTGACGGTCCAAGTGGGTTTGCCGCCTCAAGTGTTATCTGTATCACGGAGACCACACGCAGTTGCTCGAAGAAGATGCGCAGTTCTTCTCCACATACCACCCACATCTACCAGTAGCAACAACTGTTTCGCTAGCAACTCATGCTTCTTCCCTTTCAGTATAAGCCTTTGGTGTGTTCGCATTCCCTGCATGAGAGGGAGCCACGATGTGGAGATCTGGCACAAGTATGCTCACCGCAAAAACAGTGCAAAAACCCCTATGCCGGAAATCCTACGGCCCCAAAGCCACAAGGCTGCTGCTGGCCACGCACGACACCTTCTTCGGTGATCGGCACAGCCTGCTGACTCCGAACTACGGCGGCACCAGCCTCAGAGCCAGGAGTGGGTTGGGATTCAGGGTTGAGCTTGGGATTTGGGGGCTTAGGGGTGTTTAGGGTTTCAGGTTTCCAAGCTCTTGGGCTTCAGATTCAGCGTTTTCGCGCTGACTTTGTTGAAGATTGCCGAAACGTTGTTTTCGTTTTTTTTGGAAACGCTACTGGCTCGCTCTTCGCGCAGGATGGTCGGCGTGAAGGCGCAGTAAGGGCAAGTAGCTAGGGGCTGTAGCATTGGTCAGTCGAGGGGTACGGGCAGAGAGGCCAGAGACCTTTTCCTACATGTTCTTTCCGAGGCGGAGCATATCGGAACTTGAGGCGCTGGCGGGTTGCCAGCAGCATGGGACGTTCCGATGATTGACAACCTTTGCTAGCATGAGACCAGAAGCTCTCTTGATTTTCGAGGCTTTGCTTTTCATTTGCGCTTAGATGTCTAGACACGTGGAGGAATCTTGTTGTCCCACTTCCCTTCTTGCTGAATTGTCGCCGCCTCAGCTTTCAATCTTGTGACCGCAGATCAGCTTTGCATAGGTCGAGACACAAAATGCTGCTGCTCGCGAGTCGGGAAGGCACTTTCTGGCGCTCGTCACTGGAGCATCGGGCAAGGTGCACGTGCATTTTAGGTGATCAGTTTCAGATTTTGGCAACCAGCTTTCAAGCACCTTTCGCAGTTGTTTCCTGTCCGTTTCGAGGCCATCCTCCTCGCAGCATCGATTCCGCGTGAGTTTCGCGGGCTCGCAAAATGGCGTCCCAGCCTCGCAACGGTTGCGCAACCAGTTGGCATAGTATCTCGTTGGGCGCGCCCAGTGAACCACACGAAGGACACTCGGGCCTTGATGCACCGGGCGTCCGCCACGGTGGCATCCCGTCCAAACCCCAGGTGGCCCGGGATTCGGCAGATGTGCAAGGTTCAAAGGTGGAAAGCGAGGAGTGCTTGTGACAGCTTCCTGGGGGCTGTGTGTGATTCAAGGGGGTGCCCATGCGATGCTGAGTTCATTCAGGTTCCCTTCTGGAGTCTTCCGAAATGAGACCGCCACGCATACCGCTACCAACCATGCACCGTCAATTTGTCACAATGCCTCATAGCCCCCCCTCCCATCGCCACACTCCAGCAGTACCACTAGGACCAATGTTTCCAAAAGTCAAGCACAACAGTCACAACAGTGTCAAATCTTTGCACACCACATTCGGCCCCAACCATGCCATGGATGTCTCGAGGCATCTCTGCAGAGCAGCGCGCATTGCTCGCGGTTCGATTCGTAGTGTCGGATGAGGAGGGCCTCGCTGCTACGGCTTATGTCAAAAGTCTCAACGGAGCAGCTAGGTGGCTATTCCTGTTGTGGAGGGCAGAGGGCATGACAAGCAGGAACCGGTCGTAAGTATAGTGCTCCGAAGCATCCCACAACACGATGTACTCTAAAAAAGCCAGGGTACTTTTGCCGCGGACGCTAGTTCTTGCGCATGCATGAGTTGAAAAAGATGCTTGAAGCTGGCTTCAAATCCGGCAGGAGAGAGCCGAACTGTCCCGCGTTGGGGTCCAAGTTCGTTCTCAATCTGATTGCTTGTGAATCTGCATCATCTTTCAGCTGAAATCAGCATGCAAGACCTGCAAAGATGCCGGCAGCTGTTCTTCGCCGATGGTTTGGAGGCCACTGACAGTGCAGTAGCACATGCGACTTGGGCAAAGGATGGACAAGGTTTTTTCATGCCCTTCCTCCGACAGATTCAGTCCTCTCCTTCGATGACCTGCTACTGAAGAGTGACTTTTGCCTTGCCCACGCCTGAGACGAGACGGCAATGTGGAACTTCCATGAACAGTGGGCACATGCGTGCACAAGGTTCTTCCGGGAGACGTGTCCGACCTGGCTCCCACCTCAGCGACAACAGATCTCATGCCAGCACCGACAACTGAAAACTCAGAAGAATCCGTGACTGCCATGCGACTACCATGTGCATCCTTAAGCTTACGCTGCAGCTCTCGAACGCCGTCACACCACGGCATGCTGGTGAGGCCATGCGATTCCTGCATGCGCTCTCAGCTGGCTGCACTCCTGTTGTGGTGCGGGCCATGGTCCGAAGAGTTGCTTGTGCGCTCGGGGCTTGTCAATGACGGGAGCCCAGATACCTCCGCCCCAACCGGGAGACGGGTCAGTGGAAGCCGCAAACAAGGTCGGAGGTCCCCCAAGCACCGTCCCGCTGCCCTTTGCACAAGCCGGGAGCTTGCTGCACCCGGAGAGAGTCCGTAGTGCATAGCAGTGCATGTCATGGGATGCCATGCTTAGCGATTTGCATTGCAGCTTCTCGCTCTGCTTCCCACTGTTTGTGCGCAACGCGCTTCAGTCATCTGAGTTTGTGAACTACACGCAGATCGCAAGATTTGCCCGGGTGCGAGATGTCCGAACCCCAGCGTGATTATCCCTGAATCCTAAGCGGCAAACGGTAAGCCTGCCTAAACATGTTTAACCGCGAGCTCTTCGACCCGCACCCCCAATGCCACAGAATAGGGGTTTAGATAAGTTTCTTCAGCTGCAATTTTGTCAGGATAAACCAAACTATTTCAGAATCGAGAAAAACTACATATTCCTAAGGTCCTAAGGAAGGCATGAAGGAAGGGGAAGGACCAAGGAAGGAAGGAGGAATGGATGGACGAAAGGAAGGCACCAAGCCCCCGTATATTCAGCCGGGCATGCACGCTGTTAAGCACATGAGGCCATCGAAATGCTGCAAATACTCGACGAACCCACTCCCATACCCTCTGAGACCTGAGACGTTCGGAACCCGTCCTACGAGCGTTGTGTTTGCACCTTTCTCGCAAGCGTGCTTTCACGAGCCATCATGCCATCTATGCATCCTTCGACACGAGCTTTTTGTGGGGTTGCGCCTCCCCCACCCCCCCCTCCCGAATCGTGTTTGCAAGTTTTCGTGTTTTGGAGTTCTGCGCCTTTGAGAGAACCCTGTGGAAAGCCCACACAAGTGTGTGGTCCCAGTCGCTCAATCCCAAGATGCTTGTTCAGCGCAAGGGTAAGAAGAGCAAAGGACCAACAGAGAACGTGTTGGGTTTAGAAGTGGAGTAATGCTGCACTCGCTTTAGTAGGGGCGGTGGGGGTGGGGGGACCCTAACAAATCTGGCGCCCTCTGCCAACCAATTTCGGGCGTTTTGGCGGCAGAGGGGAGGGGGGACGCGGGGCGGCTGGGTTGAAGCCAAAGCCCTTCAAGCCTGAAGCCTTCAGAACCTGAAGGCTTGACGCTGTTCGGTATTCGAGTGGAGGATTCGAGCAGGTCACAAAATTTGTTTGGGACCTCGTTTCGCAAGTCAACTGAAAAAGGTCTCAGATGCAGCTGCTTTGGCTTAGCTTCCTGAATTCTCCGGGCTTTGGCTCTCGCTAAGCTTCCTACAACGCAAGGCCGTTTAAGCCTGAAACCTGTAGTGCCTAAAGTCCTGAAGCTTTCCTGCTTTGCCGGGCTACAGCCAAGCCGCTACAAGCTAACTAAAGTTGAAAGACTCTGAAAAGTCCACTTGACTGTTAGGTGAACCTCGTTTTTCAAAACTTAAATCGCGACCCTTAAGTTCTAAAGGTGGTCCGATTTCAGAAGTTTATGAATAGTTCCAGGAATCTTGAAGCCGAGAAAAACAAAAAATAGGGGATGCCTTTTCAAAGGCTTAAAGCTTTTTCTGATGGCGCCGGACCTTTACTTTAACATTACAGTCCCAATTGTTTGGGAAAAAGATTTAAAGTCTAAAGGTGGGGGCCTTTCATAATTTTCGGTTTTGAAGGCTGACAGATTTTTTTGCAAAACTTAAGAGGAGGTGCTGAGCCGCTACCCCCCATCTTTGCATGTTAATTCTCACGTCTCCTTTTGAGTTACTTGGGGGGGACGCCTAAACCCTAGACCATTAAGACAGAAGCTCCAAGAGGTGCAGGGGCTCCAAGGCGAAATCCTTAGAAGATTTAGGAGGGGATGCCTTTTCAAAGTTTAAAGGTTATCCAGTTTTTTCGGGAGGCCCAGGAGTTGCGGGCCCCCTTTGAAATTTCATTTCCCTTGAAATCTCAATTGGGGAAGGCCTGTTTGTTAAAGGTTGTATACGATTCAAAACGCCCCGGGAGGCCCAAGGAATCCGACTGGATTCCCCCCGCAGCATGTATAACTGCAGTCCCTGTTGCTTCAAATCCTTTTAAAGCATTGGAATGTGTCTCTCGTAAGGAGGCTTTCTCCATAAAAAGCGGGTGGTGCAACAGTAGCTTTCCGGGATTCCGATGCTTCGGCCGCTGCTGTATGGAAGTTCAGCGGGGGGTAAAGTAGAACACGAGAGGTTCATAGGGGCCCTGTGTCAGTATGCAGCGGCACCGCAAGTTAAGCCAGCCTGCCACCTTTCTGGATCAACCCCATCATTGTCATGTCTAAGTAGAGCTGCTCTTGTCCCGGGGTGGCGCGCGGGGCGTTCTTGACTGGACAGCCATGCCGCTACTCAACATGGCCATCCAGCCCCAAATCGTCTTCAGCGAGGGCGCTTCTTCTGAGCTGAGACGTCTGGGCAACTCGCCCTCACTACGAAGTTTGTTTGCACTTTCGAGTTGTTGTCTGCGTTGCAATGCTCGGCAAGCTGATCTGCCGAAGAGCTGTCCCTTTCCTGCCCGCTCCCAGGCAAGATCAAAGAGTTGAAGGAGCCTGTGGCCCTAAGCAGGCATGGCTTCATGGGCCTGAAGGTGTGAAATTTGGTGTCAAAGAACTTGAAAACCTAGTGGGACCCCAGAAACGAATTGCAAAGCAAGCGCCTGATGCTTAACGAAATGTCCTCACTTGGACAGACTCTGCAGCTTTGGATTGGCTTCCCTTGCGCTCACGGCGAGGCCCAAAGAGGAGCTGTTTTGGAGGGATTCTGGGCCTGAAGGGGGGCCTCACATGAGCCATAACCCAAGATCACGAGTTCGTGGTTTCTACAGCGGTCCTGCTCCCTGTGGGCATTGAAGGAAGAAGCGCGTTCACGGCACCTTGAGGGTTCAGGATTTCATGTCATGTAGGGAGAGAGGGGGGGGGGGACTTCGCGCCATCTGGTACTGATAGGAAAGAGGGGCTTGGTAGGATCCAATTGTTCTGACGACAAGCCACACAAGCCACACAGACCCCAAAGCGTTTGCAGCTCCCCAGATCGGCCTTTGAACTCTACTGACTCTACTGAAGCCCTGGCATTGCGGAGGAGCTGCCGATGACCCGAGAGCACATCGAGCTACCCGACCGGACCCTGCCACTTGATCCCGCAAAAGCGCGCGCTGTGCATTTTTTTTGGGCTTGGTTCTACACCAAGAGGCGGCTTGATTGTGTTTAGGTGGGGCTAGGGGGTTTTTTTCTGTTTATACTTGTGGCACGCATGTTCTCTGCAAGATTTCGGGGGCTTGGGGTTTGCTCGCCGGGGGGGGGGGGGGGGTGGGGCAGCGTTTAGCTCGAAGGTCGCTGTGTAGGTTGCTGATAAGGCCGGCGATTACGCGCCTATACAATCAACTGGCACAGTTTAGGTCTGAAACTCGTCGTAAACTCGTAAGTATCTATCCATATGCCAGCATGTTTACATTGAAAGTCTTTCTAACTTTGGCTAGTCATGTAGCGTTTGTTCAGTTTAGGTTTTGCTTACAATTCGTATGTGTGTGTGTACCCAGAAAGACATGTGTGTATATTGCATGCACTGAAAAGACTGCTGGCTCGTAGTCTCCAGGCTGGGGGTGGATTGGATCGGCGACAGCATGGGCGATCCAGAGGCCATTGTGCTTGTCTTCCCCGGCATCGGGACCAACTCCCGCAGAGGTGGGCTTAGTAGTGAGGGAACTCTTAGATGATGTTGAAGTCTGAGGGCGTTCTGGGATTGCAAGTGGGCCGTGAAGGCTTCGGGTTCACCAAACAGGATTTAGGATGGGTTAAGGCTTCGGGCTAAGGATCGCAAATGTGTGCAAATATGGAGGTGTCCCGCACGAGCCACTGCTCCTTTCCCCGACTCCCAGTCTCTCCAAGAGGCTTCGCAGGCATGATCTCGCACCACTTGGCCAAGACCTTCACGAAGCTGAGGGTGGGAGTTGGCGTGATGCAAGGCCCTTGTGCTGCTTGTGTCAGTTCCCACTTCTTAGACTTCCGATAGGCTACGAGGGCTTGCCACGGTTTGCAATTTGCTGGCTCATGTCCTGGCTGCGGATTTGAGTTGGGGTGGAGGGGTCCTGGATGAAAAGCTTTGGTCCCGCGAGTGCGGGCATAAATTCTGGAATTCCCCGAGGTCATGATAACCTTCCTCTTCAGTCAACATGCTTACCTGCCACGGCCTATGTGGGTAAGGGGGACATCGGTCACATCATTGAGCACGTCAGCTCAAAGTGGCCCACTGTACCACTGGCGGTGGTGGGTTGCTCCATTGGCGCTGCCCATTTCACTCGCTGGGCTGGGATGAATCCGGACAAGCTCCAGGAGTGCAGAGTGCAGGGTGCCAATGTTCCCCCCAAGTAATGAGCTTTTCTTGAAGTCTGAAGATGTGGAGTACCCGTTGGACAGTGGCGTGTTTAGTTGTCTTGCGCTGGGCGCGCCCAGGTGCAGTCCTGGTTTGCCATGGCCACTCTTCCCGGCCGGCCGCAACGGCCGTGGACGCTTCGGGGGCAGCACCCTTCATCTTGGCCGCCTATCGTGACATCGTTCGCCGCTGCCCAGATCTGGAGGCGGTCCTTTTCTCGCTTTCTGACCATTGTAACAAGCCTCCCGACGTAGTAACAAGCCTGCCGACAAAATTCAAGTACGGGCTTCGCTCACCGCCTCATCGCCATTACGAGCTGACATCATAAGGACAAAGCTGTTCCGTCAATGAGGCAACGATGCAAAGAAGAACTTCACGAAGTGCAGAACTAAGGCAGAGTTAGAAAGAGCTACCCGAAAAAAGTTGAGAAGGTCTTGGCGACCAGCTTCCCCGGCTTCAAGCCCGAGAAGCTGCGCAGCGCACGCAACCTGCGCGAATGGGACGAAGCCTTGCTTCCTGCACCTTGGTGAAGTTCGGGGTTGCTGAGGCAGATAGGAACAGCTCTCTTTTTTGGGGGCTCTTTTCCCGCTTAGAAGTCTAAAGCTGCAAGGGTCTGCAGGACATCTAAGATTTTTCAAAGGACCACACCCGCACGCAAGATGTTGAGACCAAGCCCCCCCCCGAGCAGCCAGGTGTATGGATTCTCCGAGCATGAAGCCGTGATGGACGCGGTTGACACGACCCCTGCCATGATGGAGCAACTCCCCATTCCGGTCATCTTCCTGGGAGCAGAGAATGACCCCATCACCCCCTCTACCCGCTTGCTCGAGGGCCACGTTTACAAGCTGGTGAAGAACAGCGCAGTGATTCACATCAGTCACGGATCCCACATGGCCTGGTGGGAAGGGCCTCCTTGGGGCCTGCATCAGAATTGGGCGTGCTCCTTGATGGCAGAGGCGATCTCTACCCTCACCCACATTCCGATCCCGATCCCTTGGCCGCAGATTGTTTAAAGAATCTACATGGCTAGCACTCGTCACTCCGAGATGGCATGCATTGTGCCACAAAGCAAACCCTGTTGATGGGGATCTTCCCGGGGCAGGACACAGTGATGCGGAGTGTACAAACCCCCTCAGCTTGGAACATGATCAGGGATAAGTTGGCCTCTTAGGCCTAGCGCATCACCAACGTCCACCTCTCTTGCCCTGTTTCCCTTTAGACTTCCTTTCCACAGCGGAAGCCTTTAAAACCGCAGCTGGTCAAAAGCCTCGCTCAAGGATCCTGACTCCTGCCGCTCCGGCTCCACCCCCGGGATGCTTCTGCAGCCGGGCTGCTTAAAGGACACTTGGCTGAGACTCGCCCCAATCTCTTTGGGGCAGTTTTGACGCGGCAGGGTTCCGGAAAGGTGCGGGGAGCCACAGAAGAAGCCATGCATTTAAGGCATCCGTGTTTCCCACAGCAGTGCTACCTGCAGAGCCAAACTTCCGATCATCCAGAGATTGAGCTACGAACCCAAACGCTGTTTGTGTAGGGGGCGGTGCCTATTTGCCCAAAAGGTTCTTCATTGAAATTTCCCGCAGCCCAGGCAGGCAACGGCTTTGAGAAGTCTTTTGCGTCTTGCCACCGAGCCCCCCTGCAAAGCAGGAGGTGCGGTCGCTGCTTCTGAGCTACCTACACCAATCATGAACGTAGTGGCTTGAGTTTATACTCCCAAATACTCTTGTTCTCATTGTTCGTTTAGTAGCCATGGCTTCCTAGCATAGGGAGATAGCAGGTTAACATGCCTTGGGTTCATTGTCACCAGGGATGAGGATGACAAAGGATCATCCGCTTGGATGCTTCGCCAACCAGGGTCACATCAGCCATGATGTTTTGCACATAGCTTTGGAATCGTATGCCGAGACTGTTGCAAGCCAGAAACGATGGCTAAGAACCGGATCCAAAAGATGGCAAGATTCTTGTGGTCTCGGCGCACGCTTGTCCTGACATTTTGGTGTCAAAATGGGCTTGACCCCCAGGATAATCCCCTCCCCCTCCCCCCCCATCCCTGTATGTGATATACGTTTCAGTGCATGTTTGCCGGTGTTTGGGGTTTGTGAAGGGAGCATTTTGCTTCCCCCTCTGTCCCGTTCTGGCCTTCCGAGGTGGGCGAGGCAGAGCAACTCCTCCAGGCGCTGCTGCAGGCCCCTTCTGCTCTAAGAGTCTGTTCCGAGAGGCTTTTGAGGCTCCACAAAAAAAATCGGGAGCCACGCTGCAAGAGAGATGCCTGGAGAGCGAGGTGCCGGCAGTATGAGTATCGGTACAGTATCGGGCTGTTGACGTCCGGGGGCTTTTGTTTGTATTTCGTTTGGGGTTGGGCTTGCTTGGCTCATTTCGAGGCTTCGCGAGCTGTAAGGCCCCACAAATAGCCTTCACATCCTCAGCGTCCTCACTGAAACCATTGGCTTCTTGCGTGGACTGGCTGAAGGAGCCTCCGCCGCAGCCAAAGTCCAAAGAGGAACAGGAGGAGATGTCGAGGGCCGAGACTCCGTGAGCTGGGTTCATCGGCGCTTCGTGTGGTTGTTTGGAACTTGCGACATGGAGTTGGGCCTAAGTTTCCACGAGTAGCTTGTCGCAAGATCCTTACAGCCGCCCTCAAAGCATCGCCCTTCAGGCTCCGGCGCATCTCCGGGCTGTACACCAGGCGTGACTTCAGTGTGCCTGCTGGATCGAATCCCGAATGAAGGTGGTGCTGCGCATACGAAGTGTTTGGGAGTTTGGGTTTACGACGCTTACGATTCGATATGGGTGGGACGCGCAGTACGTTTCGTACCCCCCCTCGCCCTCCCCCCTTCGCCCCGCCTCCTCCCGCTCCCCCTCTCGCTTTCCCCTTGCCCCCTCCCCTCCTCCCTTCTCCCCCTCTCACAATCCCCCTCTCCCCCTCTCCCTCTCCCTCTCCCCCTCCGTCTGTCTCTCCCTCTCCCGCTCCCTCTCCCTCTCGCGCTCTCTCTCTCTCTCTCTCTTTTTCTTTTTTCTCTTTCTCCTTTCTCTTTCTCCAAAAGAGGCAGCCGATGTCGTTGCAGGCATGCTGACTGCGGCTTCGACTCCGGCCAGCCCTTTCGGAGACTTCTGGCAAAAGCCCTGGAGGTCGGCTACGCAACGTTAGAGGACTCGGAAGCTGTTGCTTCGGGGGCCCGTTGTTTGTTGTTCAGGTTGTCTTTCTTGCCGTCTGCTTCAACTCCTTGTTACCCGTGCACGGTGCGGGAATCCAGGCGCGAGCTGGCATCTGGCAGCACCTGCGCTGGCACAACTAGATGTCCCATCATCGGGGTAGGCTTGGCTGCTCGTACTTGTAAGCGTGGTGAAGTGATTGTGCAACAACAAAGTTCCTGCTCGAGTTCTTTGCAATAGCTAGGTGTAGCTGATACACGCAACATGGAAAGTTGGCCTTTTTTCTTGCGGTAAGGCAAATCAATGCGGGGAAGCTTTTTAGGAAGTCCACCGAAACTGCGTTTCCCTCGGGCAGAATTGTCCGCAATTCCGCGCATGCGTGTCGTAAGCCATGTTGGCTATACGATGTGATATAGGTTCAGAGAAAATATTGCCTCTTCTTCGTAAGTTTTGGTAGGCTTGACTCCATGCTTTTCTTGCGTTTCACTCGGGCGGAGGTGCTTCAGCAACCATGTTGGATGATGTTTTCAGGCATGTTGAGCCCCAGCGTTCCTTGGGGATTTCGATACTTGCGTACTGATTTTTGCTGCTTTTCGTAGCTAAAAAATCGATGCGTTCATTGGGGGGAAAGGATCCCGCGGTCGACTTCGTCAACTTCCTAAACCCTCTGCGTTCATTGGGGTTTCACGTCTCCCCCAGTAAAAGGGTCGACTTTCCCGAGCCCCTGTACTCTTGGGTAGATGTTAAGTTGTTTGATATGTTTCATTTCAACAAATCTTCCTGATGTGTGTTTCGGTTACTTCACGTGTATCCAAAGGACTGACTCAGAATTTGGTACACGAGTGACATCGGGTGACGTTTGGTTTTGAAATGCTTGAGCAGCACAGAGCAGACAGAGCATTGGAGAAAGAACACATGAACCAGTGATGAACCACAGCGGCTTCAACACCCACGAACGAAGCAATAAAGCTAAAGCATACAGAAAGCAGATGCAATGTTTTACGGTTTGACCGAATGAAGCCATCATGCAAGGCCAGTTCATTGGCCAAAGGGATTCGTTAGCCGCTTTAAGTGCGGGATTCTTTGCTGCTCGATCTGTGCGGTCGTGTGCTTGCAGGCCAAAAAGAAAGATGACAGCAGGCCAGGAGCCACGGCAGCTCGCCGCGCCATCAAAAAGCCGACAATCTCTGTGCTGGGCGGAGGGTTTATGACTTTTCGCGTGTTTCGGCGGCTTGGCCTGGGCAGGATGCGCCTATTGTGCATCCTCAAGTCATGCCGGCCACATGCCCTTGGAAGGACATTTCCCTACTCATACTGCCACGTACGGTCTACGTCAGATTTTTGTGCGCCTTGAGACCTCTAATCTCCCGAAGCTCGTAGCACTGGTGAAGACATCAGCCCACTCTACCAAGTTGCCGCTGACGTTGCTTTTCGACAATCCTCGCACATCAGGCTTCCGTAAGCCACCCGCAAGCCACCCTACTTCAGGGTATTCTCGGGTACCCAGGCGTGAGATGTTCTAGGACCATGCACAAGCTTCAAGTCGACCTAGCCCATGCGAATCTCACGCTTGGGCGATGGCTGGTCTGCTGACTTCTGAGTGTCGAAGTCCTGCTTCTGGGTCATTGTGTTTTGTCGTCTGCCGTCTCCATGAGGTAGTGATTCAAGTCCAGGGCCGCGTCAGTTGACTGAACTCGGGCCACTTGCACGTAGTTGCGACTGCGTTCTCCGCTACCCGAGTTTCCAAAGCGTGCTAGAACAGAGTGATACCCAAAGAGGCAAGACAGGCGTTGAATGGATGCGGGCCAAAGGCTTCAAGGTGAAGTGCAGATTCAGCCACCTCGTCTACTTGCCGGCCGCTGCTATTGATAGCTTCATTTGCAACCTGGTAGCCCCACAGAAATTCAGGAACCTAGCCAACCAAGTCAGGAAAACCGTATGCGCTGAAGTGCTCAGGCACTTTGCTGAGACTTTGAATCAAGGTATGAGTTCTAAGGAGCTGGCTTGGGATTAGAACGGTTTGTGATTAGGTGGCCTGATGCGGCCTCTAAGGGTTGTTGTGAAAGGTTGCATCATTTAATACAAATAAAGTATACACACATGAAAAAAAAGTGATTTTCATATTGGGATGCATGATAAGCAGAGAGAGAGAGAGATATGTTTATACATACATGTGTATATATATATATACATATATATATATACATATATAAGTATATATCATAATAAAAAACAACAACAATAATCATAATAATAATGATGATGACAAGTATGTTGTATATGCTCCCCCCCCCCTCCCCCCAAAGATCCACACCTATGGTCTTGTAGCTTTTTCCCTGATAAAGATCTGGGCGCGTATTCTCGAGTACCAAAAACACAAAGTAGAAACAAGCGCATGCCCGCAGTCCCCCAGACTCCAAATATACATATATGTATATCTGTATATATGTACATATGTATATGCATACATGTATAAATACGCATGTGTGAGTCTTTTGCTTCAACGGTGCAGCGCGCATGGTGTGCTTGCAATGGCTTCAGGGGATGCCGCCTTTGACCAGGCGAAACAGGAGGGCGATGCTGCCATCCAAAGGCAAGACTTCAAGCAGGCTGAGCAATGCTACACTGAGGCCCTAAAGTTTAGGCCGAAGGGGTCGGAGGCTGCTGTGCTCTGCAACCGCGCCCTTGCACGACTCCGGCTAGAGTGCTGGCAAGCAGCAGCAGAAGACGCCACTGAAGCACTTCAGTCACTGCAGCAGTCGCTTCGGCAGGGAACACTGGAAGAGTCACTCGAAGAGAAGTTGAGGATCAAGGCCCTCTTCCGCCGTGGCCTTGCCAGGGAGGCGATGGGTCAGCTGCAGGCAGCCAGCGATGACCTCAATGCGGCACTGAAAGCCGCACCTGGCAACGCTTCCATCTTGGAATCTGCCCGCCGCATTTACAGCAGGCTGCCTCGGCAGGCTTGCAAGTGGGTGCCTGGGCAGCCATTCCACAGCTCAGCTGTGGAAGTGTTGGCCAGAGCTGTTCCGGGGAGCGTTACAGGCTATCTTTGGACGCAAAGCCATCCTTGCATCCGCTTCCCAAACCATATGGCCGTGCAGGCCCACGAGCGCACCTGAGATGCAACATGTTGCAGCGTTGTTTTTGTGTGGGATGCTCGCTCCACACGTTCTGCCGTTTTGCTTGCAGGATGCCCGACAGACCAAGTACTCTTTGCCAAGGCACCGGCGGATTGGTGGCGATCCAGGAGAGCCTCGGTGCTCCTCAACAGCCTCCACGGCACAAAGAAGTTCCAACAAAGAAGCAAGACTTCCTTGAGCCAGCCGCTCAGAAGTGTTTGGGGCAAAAAGGGCATGGCAATGGCAGTTAGCATCGTCGCTATCTATTCGCTTCGGCGCAACAGGGCAGACAATTGCAAGCCTTGACAGGGTGGGAAGTACAAAGAACGTACAAGGAACAATGTCCAATGAAGGCCTGCCAATGCCTGTATCCTGCGCCGCCTCGGCCGAGGTCTCCAAATTTTCAGCACAAAGATGGGCTGCGTGTGCTGTGCTCGGGTAGTACCTCGATGTTACATGTTGACTACCGGCCTGGCACTGCTCACCAATACCTAATGGCGAGGTGGAGTACGACGTGGGCGGGAACTTGGCCAAGATTTACTGCAAGTTTGCCGAGGCACCGCAGTGGGCATTTGCCAACAAATTCCCTGCACCTTCCGTGAAGGACTATGTGGGCCCTTTCATCACCTACAACGCTGATGCTTCTATCAGCATGGTACTTTGTTGTGCTTTGAACAAGGCATGTGTGGTTGCATGGCTCTGTTGGGCGCTGTGCACGCGCCAAGGCCTGCGAGAGACCTGCCTCTACAAGGCGTTCTCCAGGGTGGTGTTTCTGCGTTTTGACCAACTGGTGAGCGAAACTAGCACAGGAGGGCCGTGTGGTCAGCAAACTCAAGCAGGAGCCTCATCAACCCGCATCTCTTCACATGGCACGTTCCACATATTGCAGCCGTAGCAGCCACAATGACCATGGTAAGCGCTCACGCGCATCGTCGCCGGGCCGCCCAAGCCACGGGCCGCGCACTTCCCCAGGGCCCCACGGCGCAACTCGGAGTCGCCGGTTTGCACGGAGTAAGCCCGAAACTTGGAACCCGCAGCGAGGCGAGCTGGGCGGACGTGTAGGTTGTATAGGCTTGCTGGAGAATCCCTGATGCCTTGTTTGCCTTGATTACTGTAGCAGATAGCAAAGGCGCAGTGTCAGCAAGCTGTGCAAAAACTTCGGTGCACTTGTTGTTTGTGCTCTTGAAGCTTGTGTGGGGTGTGGGCTTGTTGGCAAGTGAAGCTTGGGTAGGGTGGTGGGAGCTGCCACGTGCAGAAGGCCCACCCGCCCACCACGGTGGCCCCCAAGCGAATTTTTGCAGCTCCCACCAGGGAGGGGCAGCTGGCGGTGGACTGGGGAGGTGCGCCTGGGAACGTGGAAGGAGACCGCAGCCTCAACGCGGCCTGTCACCGCAAAGCCCTTGAAGCTACTGCTCCAAGGTCGGACATTCCGGACGACTTTGTGGCGAATGTGCTTCGCACGCATGGGCCCGAGTGAGCCAAAGGCTTGACACCTCAATCTTCAAGTCATAAACTTCATAAAAGTACCCGACAGCCCGAACATGGAGTTGGTGGTATGGTTGCCAAGAACCATGAATGGTAGTAGTCATGGTGTCCAACACTCGACGCAGTTCTGCCATCTCGCCAGGTTAGTCGTCCCGATCAAGAAAGCTTTGGACATGGGCTTGGCACCAAACGAGGAGGAGCGCGCAGGATGCGACACACCGTAACCCGACCCCAAAAACAAAGACTAGGAGGGACAACCTGGGGTGCATTTTTGTGTGCACTTTGCTTTGTTGCATCCGAGCTTGTCGCGACACCTAGAGCTGGGTGAAGTCAGGGTACTGACTGCCCGAACCCGAACAGATCTCGGAGCTCTGAAGTGAGAGGCCACCAGGATCAGGTTCTCGAAAGCACGACCAGTCCAAGAATCTGCAACGCACCGGCGCCACATGGTGGGACTGGACCTGGAAATCAATTGGCCTACTATAAGAAGCACGATTCACGCCAGGCAGCAGAGGATGCTGTCAGGTGAATCTATGCGGTTAGACACGATTGTCCACCAGTAGGCCCCGAGATGTTGAATCGCTGTGGGAAGCTGTTGGAGCTGTAGGGGCCTCGCGATTCAGCAGCAGTCGAAAACCGACAGGGGCGGAGGTCCAGTACGTAGAAGCAGACTGACTTCGGACCGGGGCGCGTCGTGCGCGGGAGCTTTCTCACATGCCCTAAAGGAAGGAAAGAAAAGAAAGAGAGTCTCAGGAAAGGAGGACACACAGAAAGCTCATGCACATAAAGATGTGACCCAACATGGAAGTCAATTGACGAGCGAATGATTGATCAGTTGTGGAGGAGCTGTGTGTGCAGCACGGGGTCACATGGGATGTGGTTCCACCAGCAGATCTTTCTGCTGCGAGGCCGGAACTGCGCTGATGCTAGAAAAGGGAGTAGGGCTGTGTACGACTTCGATGCTGACTGGTTCGTCTCGGAACCACATTGGGAGGATTGCAGGACAGAAAGGCAACAGAGTTTATCCTAAGGAAAAAAGGGACATTCACCAAAGTAACGCGAAACTACAAGGAGATCGCGAATAAAATTCTCCACCCCGCGGAAGCTGCATGTTTTGGGTGTCGAGGCCGGGGACGCCGACCCCGATGCCCTTCCAGGCTGTGCCGCTGAAGCAGGCAGTTCCACGACGCATGCAGCATGGGTTCAAATACAGGAGGCTCACTCAATTTCATGAGCTGCATACAACACTCTCTGCACTCCAACACGCACCGTGGGGAGTACATTGGTGCGTGCAGGTGACTTCCGAGCCTGGTGCCTTTGAAGCTGCCGATTGCTTCAAAGGTACGTTTCGGAGCTAAGGGTTCGCTATTGCACTGCCCGTGCTGACCGCGTTCTGGATTATCAATGCCTCGTGAAATCGTCCCCCCTCAAGCTGCTGAAGAGGTGCACGGCCGAACTGGGTCTTCAAGCTGGGAGATCGCGGCTTGGGGTACTATTGCGAGGCCATCCTGCCCTTCAAGCCTCAAGCTCCTGCAGGACACTTCCCTATAGTCCAACGCATTCCCATGTGTGCTCGCAGGCAAAGCCCATGGATGGCCGCGGCCTTATTCTTCCAAATCGTATCTCGGGTGGCTCCGAAGTCGAGACACGGCACTACGCTCGTTTTGCTGGTGGGCAGGGGATGTAGCCATGTCTAATATCATGGAAGCACCTGAACAGGGATAGTGCTTCAGGGAAGGACGAGAATATCAATGCTGGAGCTCATAGAGTAAAGATCACCGTGGCCAAGACATGCTGTATCCAAAGAATGCCTAGGTCTTGTGAGGCCTGTTGGACCTCGTCATCTGCACTTCTTCCCGAAGAAACATTTTTCTCATTAGCCAATGTGAGCTGTGGCCTCGACTCTCTCGCCTGTGCTTTCATGTCGTGACCCGTCCTGCCAGAGTATTTTGGTCTAGATGCCATGCCCCGAAGATTGACAGGAACGTGCCATCATGTGTTGGGCAACATTCAAATACTTTGTGTGGCTTTCCACTTGTTCGGGTTTGCACAGGTGTCAGTTTACAAGATGCCATAGCCTATGCCATAGAAGCATTCTGCTTGAAGCTCAAGCTCCCGCGCCTCTGGGCCACGGACCCTCCTGAGCCTTGAGCCCCGTCGTCTTGACATTGCCGAAATCCTAAAAGTCCTTGCCAAGACCCCAAAACCCCCCGTGCCGCGCGTTTTTTTGCAAAGGCTTGAGCTGGGAGGGACTCCTGAGTGCTGGGGCCCAAGCTTGGGGCTTTGCGGCCTTCGGGCGTGTTGAGCTCGGGCTTTGAGGCAGTTTCTGAGCTCGAGGGTCGAAAGTCGACTTTTGGGCTGGGGTTGCGTATGATCATTCCACTTGATGGGGGTGTCCAAGCGTGAGTCGGCAGAAAAACAGCCAGCATGAAAGTCATAGAAAACCTGGATTCCTAGTGCCTACACCCGAACTTCTCCCGAAATTCTCGACCCTGGTAGCTGGCTTTCGGCTTTCAAGCTCAATGCGAAGGCCCCACCAAAAGGCCAAATAGGGCCTGCCTGGGCGCGGGGCTTGGACCAATGGAAGTGTGGAAGTGTGGAAGGGTCCGGAAGGGTCTTGCTCTGGCGGTTTTTTTGGGAGGTCAAGCCATCGGAAGGTTCTGGGGCTAATTCTGCTGTCCTTAGGGCTTCTTGGTGCTTGGAGCTTGTGGCCTGATGATGAACTGGATGTAGAGGTCGCGTTCGATACGCTCAGTCACAGCGCTCTCAAAACCCCAAGGTGTGGCCCAAGGCCTAGCCCATCGGCTTTAGGGTCGGATGTGGGGCAGTGGGGCCGCCTTTGCGACGCAAAAGGCTCTCCCACCTGCAGACAATCAAAGCCTTCAGAGACATGGCACTAAAGCCCTGGACTCCTCTTCTTGCACCCCAAACCGCTGGTATTGACCCTCAGCATCTCAAACACGCACTCAAAACAACCGAAATTTTCGTGCGCAACAAAAACCGGCAAAACATCCGCAAACCCGCCCAGACAAAACCCGAACCCCCCCAAACTCACCTTGCCTGAGGTGGGCCCATTTGCGAACTCTAGGCTGTCCAAAGAGGAGGATGCTGGCACAAAGGCCAGCATCCCTAAATCCCATCAATGGAGGGAAGAGCTGGTTTCGAGTGGACACGTGTGGTGCTCGGGACTTCTTGACGGCGTACCTGACTGCACACTCCCCGAAGCTGGTGTACGCATGCTGCGGTTTGCTTTTTCCACGTCGGGTTTCAACGTAGTTCCAGTCGCACGTGTCAGGTGCCGCTCCCTCAAGACGCGCCGTGGCCCTTAGGGCTTGTTGCATGTCTGTATCCGTGAGTGAGAGGTAGTGAGAGCCCGACCTGAGACGGGCCGCCACTAGGCAGTGCTTGTTTGTGTATGTATGACCTGCGCGGCTTTCCGGGCTCAGCTGGGTTAGAAAACCTTCTGCACCTGACGCTTTACCGTGAACCTTACGTACCTTACAGACCGTCTGCAAGGAGCAGATCGGTCCCTTCCTTTCTGAGCAATGTTCCGGGCTGGATCTTTGTGTCTCGCTCTGCAGGCGACAGTGGCGATCGCCGTCGAGGTTGCTGGGAGTGATTTCGTAGCTATGACATGTTGCGCTTTAGCAAGAACACACCAGCGTGGGGTTGAGTTAGCACGAAACCTTTTGCAAGTTGCCTGGCTGTTGGAGAGGTGGCGCCTGATGTGGCCGGCCGCTTGCTTTACCAGACGTCGTTCAAAGCGGTGAGTGCCTCCGCACCGCGCGGTCTGTCTCCTCTAAGCGACGTCCTTGAGGAAGAGCTTTTGGCAGAGGGCACAGGCGATTCCTCGCTTCCCTTGAGGCCGGAAGCCCCAGTTCAAGGCCTCGAACTTCTAAAGGCTGACCTGGTCTGGCTGGCTGACACCGTCGGCCAGCTGATGGCAGACTCCCACCCTTCCAGCATCGTCTCCTTCTGCCTTGCATTTATGACGGCCTTGGCGAGCGGCGGCCTCGTGCGCTCCCTCTTGAGGGACCGGCCACTTGCCCCAAGCACGAAGTGTGAGGAGGAGATTGGGTTCTGTCAACGGGTTGTTGGGCTCTTGTTTGGTCGGCAGGAAAAACCCTGAGACACTTTTTGGGTATACTTGACCAGTCTGCAGGACAAGTGTGAGGAGAAATCACAGGAGCCAATGACGTCGATGACGACTTCTGACATTCACGAGGAACTGGCCGCCCACAACATGCCTCCGCTGCCGACTCCAGGCAATATTTGCAAAAGGTTGCTCAATATTCAGCCTCCAAAGAGTACGACAGGTCTGGCACCGCATCGAAATCGTGTAACTAGCATGCTGGCTTGTTGGACTTTCAATCTTTCAAGCTGTTCTAGTTGTCAGTCGAGGCCCCATCCCTAAACGAGATTCTTAAACCCTAAACATCCCTAAACCCTAAACCTATGACCCAAGGAAGCGTGGGCTGGCTGTGACCAATCCGGTTCTCCTTCAACGGGCGACGGAGCAAGAGGAGGAAGCGGCCAAGAGGGCAGTGCAAATCAAGACCCTTTGTCTGTTCAAATGGGCAAATGGGCTCGTTTCGGGATGTTTCGGTACAGACCCCCCCCCCCCCCCCCGCCCCCCTTTTAAACCATTCCGGATGAAGAGTTCCGCCGACAGTTCAACCTGACTCGGGTTTCATGTGGCCGCTATACGCTGAGATCACGCAGGGCATTTGTCCATCTGGTGTAGTTTAAAGGCTTCAATTCACAAACTCTGAGCAGAGACAATCGAACAAGACATGCAAATAGCTGAAACCGGCCAAGTGGCTTTTCCCGGCGACAGGCAGGAGCGGAAGAAAACAAATCCCAAATACTGTGAAAACAACATGTGTTTTCATGCTCTGAGGAAGGATTAGGAGTGCTCTTACTTTGAAGTGAGGTCTTAACGTGGTTTGGATATTGGAACCTACTTCTGAAGCCATGCTTCTGCTAAGGAATGCGCAGAAGGATCATCGTGACGTGTTTGGCTGTTCAGCACTGCATGTGGCGGCGCACAATGGTCATTCGAAGGCCTGCTTTGTTGTCCTCAAAAAAGGCTAATGCCCACATCACATGCTCTAGCAATGGTTGTAGCTCAGGCCCGGGTACAGCTAAGCTGTACTGTGGGCCGGTAGTTGCTTGATAGCTCAGACCCTAAATACTGTGTGCTACCGGAGCCTTGCCTGTAACAGCTAGAGTGTGTCGAAATACTGTGTGCTGCGAGGACGTGGCGCAGTTGCTTTTGGCGGGCTTCGATGTGAATGCACAAGATCATTTCGGAGAGACGCCCCTTCACATGGTAGCACGCTCTGGCTGCCACGACACGGCAAAACTGCTGCTTCAGCGCCTTCGGCTACAAAGGCCCCATGAAACCTCAATCAACGCAGTCTTCAAGTTCAAGAATTGGGCAAGCCCGGACGCAGCAAAGTTGTTGGGAAGGAGTTTTGGGCATGTTGAGGGCAAACTTGTTCCTTTTCCGGTGAGACTGAAGGCATGGAGCCGACCCGAGCCGACGCAATTCGGCCTCTATGGAGCATTGTTTTGTAGGTCGCGGGAGGGGCTCGTTATGGTGGTTCAGTGCTTAGGGGGCTTGTGGGCACATGCTTTGGGACATTACCGATAGGTCGAGCCCTAGATTCACAGGAGTTGCGGGGTCAGACCAATGCAGGCAACTCCTTCGGCAAGACGCCCTCCGCTGTGGCCCTGCTGCACGACAAGACTTTGGCTGCCTTGCTCCGTGTGGGGAAGTGAAGAGAGCCACCTTTTGCTTGTCTCAATGTCAAAGGGGATTCGAAGCTTGTCATCAAATAGGGATCATATGAGACGGGTGTCAGGAAGGCGTGGTTTTTGCTTCCGCACTTGATGCAAGAGATGCAACCGCTTGCATGCCTGCGTTTCACGGACGCCTGCTCCCGGGCTGCTCCAAGAATACACGGCGGATTTTCTTTGCCTGTGCACATCTTACCGCATCTTACCCACGTTTCATGCTTCTCGCAGTGACGCTGCTGGCGAGAAAATGCCGTGGATTTGAAGCTAGGCTGCTGTGGCTGATGCTGCCGAATCACATGGTTCCAGTGCAAAACCCGAGATTCCATCGAACGCACCCAAGGCCCAGAAATTCGTCTCGGAGACCTGTGTTCCCTACGCACGGGCCTTAGTGCGGCCTCACCGGGGATCTTGAAGTTGAGTTTGGTGTTTGGCCTTTGTCGAGAAAGCTTTCAGAGCACACATCAGCTCCCGCTCAGCTCTGGCAGCCTTTTTGATAAGATTTTCTCTTTGCCATGGCAGCTGGTGTGCATGAGCTTCTCACAAGGCATACAGCAGTCTGGGTACAAGTTCAGAATCAGCTAGGGTGAAGATGTGTGAGCTGCGCTGCGCTGACGGAATCCCCTGTCAGTGGAGGAGCATAACTTCCTTTCACCTTTCCTCCAAACACGCCTTGGCTACAAAACCCGATTGTCCCCGCAAGTGTGGCACTATCTCAATGCTGTCGAGTAGCTTTGAGAAAGTTCGCGCGCCTAGCCCGCTTTAGGAGACTCTGGCACGCTCCCGTTCCCTCAAATCACTCCGATGCACCCTTGCGGTTGGACTTGCCTAGGGCCTGGTGAATCCAATTGCTTGTCGAATCCACGATGCCCTAGAACACCCGAGCGCATGTCCTACAATTTGACGTTTCAAGGGCTTGTCCAAAAGAGGCCCCACAGTCACCCACGCCTACTTCTCAGGGCGGTGGGGGCACAAAATTGCAAATCACGCAGCTGCCCAATTCAGACAGACAAGCTCTCACCCACGCCTACTTCTGTGCCTCACCTGGCTTGTATGAGCTGTGGGGTCCAGCCCTAGACCAGAAGGTTTAACTCTCGAGGGCTGCAGATCTGGAAGCCTCAGGCTCCGAAGATGCTGTTTGGGCTTTAGGGTTTTGGGTTTAGGGTTTAGGGCTTTGCCGGCTCAATTTAGGTGCTTCGGGATTCCAAGCTCAAGGCAAAAAAAAACACTGCGGGCTGGGGACATGTCTGCTCAAAGAGGTAGTCCCAGCCTTGGCGTGCCTCTCAGCGCCATGCACCGAGGCAGGAGTTCCAGGCTGGTCCTTTGTGTGTACGTTTGCTGAATGAATTTGAGGCATTTGGTGCGAGAAAATGGGAGTGGGGGGGGGGGGGTGGTTTCTTGATGGCTTTTGTTTTTGGATTGTATGCGATGCAAGACAAAAAGCTTTTCACCTTTGCCCTGGCAACTCCACAAGATGTCCTTCTCTAGTCTAGTATATAGTACTGAGATGCCACGATTTGTTGTCACGCGGCGGCCAGGCCCGCGCTCCATGCCGGAGCTATTCTGGGAGTGGTTGTAGGAACGCAGCTGCTGCAGTCCCTGTGGTCCATACAGTCTTGGGTCCCCCATGCGCGTCCAGCGAGATCACCACCCAGACCATCCAGACCGCTGCATGCGCTGAGCAAAGAGTCGAAGGCGAGCAGGGCCATTGATAGGGAGGAGGCCTGGCTTTCATTTAGCACCTGGGCGGCAAGGGCAAGTTTACCCATAAGGTAGCTTTCCCTGTGAAGAGATGAAGCATCCGCCATGCCATCTGCTGGTAGGCAACAGTGTCGACATTCAGGGCGCTTCTGCCTCGGAAGCTTACGAGATCTACGCGCACCTGCCGAATCATCCTGAGTGGTCATCTCTGCTCTCCGAAGTGGAGGTGGAGGACAATAGTCTGTCAAGCACTTGGTCCTTACAAGCCCTCGGCTTCAGTTTCTAAGAGGAAAGCAAGTCAAGTTTGTTGAAGCCTTGGCGGCACATGTAGCCTTCTTCTCGAATTCTCCAGGGCTGGAAATCTCAGGTTTCTCCTGGACGGCCGACATCACAAGGCAAATCCCTTCGAAGCTCATTGGCTGGGAGAGCACGAGCGGCATGAAGAACGCCGGCGTCGCGAAGTTCCAGGACCTGCCTAGGTTCAGTGGAGGCCCTGCTTGTCGCGTGACGGCGGCCCGGGCCTTCCTTAGTAGTTCTCTGTCTTGGGGGGAGGGGGGGGGGTTGTTTTGGACCTGTAGTCAAATTTTATTTGCAGTTGAAAAAAATGGCAGTTGTTTGTAAGTTCTCTGGCCAAGGTGGAGATGAGCCTCAAGACCCCTTCCCTCCTTCGACGGGTCTTCCAATCCCGACGCTTGAACGCCATGGCAGAGAGCGCCATTGGGAAGGACCGATCAGCCGCGCTTGTCGTATCAGCTTGTGGATCTTGCCCAAAGGGTCCTAAGTGCCTACATAGTAGAATTACTTAGGTCCCTTTGGGTTGCGGATGCAGAAGAGAACATATCCTTATCACTGCGCCGCCATAGCAACCGCATCCGGCACGCCACACCCTCAGAAGTGTTCCGCGCACAAGACACCAGGACCTGGCTACCTTCAGAGAAGTGGTGCTTGCCCGGAAACTTATGGCAATCGCAGACGTTCCTGTTCAAGTTCCTGTTTAATTCCTCAACCATCAACCAGAAGTTTATGAATTGTTCGTATGGGCATGAAGGAAGGCGGCCTCCCACGCTTGTGCTGTGCTAGAGAGGCCGACAGTGAATTCGACGCATCTGGGTCTTAAAGGCTGCCGGTCACATATTTTTTATACCCAAGTTATCCCGACGAAGACACAGACGCACGGACAATTCTGGCACGAAAGAATGAGAGCGAGCTCCCCACCCTAAGCCCCCATGTGAAATCGCCATGAATTCTGCCCAGGTATAAGGACCACCTGGGCAGGTGTGAGCTTCTGGTTTGGCAAGATGGGCGTCTGGAAGTGGAGCTACACGGCCTGGGCACCTCCGACAACACTAGGAAGCTCCTGGAGGAAATGAGCATCTTGGATGCCCTGGAGCACGTAAGTGTAGTAGAACTGTCGATATCAAAACGCCAACAAGTCAGACGAAGTCAGACAATGTAGGCTAAACAAATCGGCCGGGCGCTGGTTTCACATACCCTGCACAGGTTGTAAACTGCATCATACGACACGATGGCCAATTGCAAGCACAACAGCATGATATACAATGCTCAGCCCGTTTTTCGATACCCTTTGACACTAGGCCCAAACGTCAATAGCGGTAATGTCATATGAAGCGTGACGCGGATGCTGCTGGGCGGCCGACCAACCCCGATATGCAGCGGCCCCCCAGGGCAACACGGCAGACGATGTTGCCATGGATGTTGAGCCGCAGCACAACACCTTCACCGTCGGCATCCCGGGGGTTGGGCGCCAAACAAATCACGGTGCCAGCCAACTCCATCAGCGCTTTACAACCTTTCGCACACCTATGCTTTGCCAGCACGCGTCTGGTGACAGTGATGACACACACACACACATACAAACACACACGCACACAGACACACACAGAGACACACACAGAGACACACACAGAGACACAGACAGAGACACAGACAGAGACACAGACAGAGACACAGACAGAGACACAGACAGAGACACAGACAGAGACACAGACCGAGACACAGACAGAGACACAGAGAGACACACACACACACACACACACACACACACACACACACACACACGCGTGGGAGTGGGCACTGTGCGAGACTTAAGGTCTCATCGACATAAACAATCGAAGCGAGCGAAAACAAGCTATACCGGGTTTGCAGCACAATGCAGATGGACTAGACCAGTTACAGATTCATGCCAAAAACACCTGCAGCAACTCGGTTTTGGAACCGAATCTGGGCAAGCTCCATTGCATCAGCCGGATTGATCGCATAGCATTGCGGGACTTGGATACAGAGCTCTACAACCAGCGCTGTGGCATTCGTGCTTTGGCGCAAACTGTTCAGAATTTACAGCAGAATATCGCGCGGATGTCTGCAGATATCCTGCGCTCAATGCACGCTACAGCAGCTGTGACAGGTCACTTACGTGCTCCAACGACATGAACAAACTATGATACAAATGCGCCAGCAGGCCAACCAGGACGTCGATGTCATTGCTTGCAGATGCAGGGCCTACGTCTTTGCACCCACTTTCATACAGAAAGCCAAAACATGAACGCAGGTATCCTGCAGACCTACTTGCAGCAAAAGTTTGAGATTCACCACAGAAAGACCGCTCGCATAGTGTATACTCGCCCTCTTAGAGGGCTCTGTGTGTGTGTGTGTGCGCAGCACTTTAGTCCATGGGTGAACGGGATCACTCACTCATGTTGCATGACATACATCGCGCCGTCACATATGCACACGCTGAATTACGTGACGCTTGGAAGCTAGATGTCAAAGATAAAGCAGTAGGGGAAGGCAGGGCATCACTGGGATTGCGTCTAACGAAGCTACCGTTGGTCTGGGAAGCCAGAATTAGCCACTTTGGTGTCCTGCCGAGTAATGATGATGGACACGGGGAGCGAGCCTGCCCCGTCATGTGCCAATGTGCCAGATGCAATGCAACGCATCCAAAGCGCAAGCGCGCGCGCGACGTCTCATGCACCACATGATGATCAGACATGCACGTCTTTTCGTTGCTCACACAACGACAAGCAACAAAGGCATGGCCATCAAGGAATTCGGGGACTCGGTACACTGTACTGCGCTCATCGACATGACGCGGGGAGTCGGATGCTCACCGCTGGCTGTCCCCAGCATCGTGAGCTTCTGCCAAAAGGCCAGTGCACTTTTAAGAATCATGTTTTTTCCAGGGCTGAGACAAAGTTTGGTAAAATGTATCTCGCCATGTCTCTGTTGAAGTTGTTAAGTTAAGGTTGAGTCGTGAGCGCGAAAGAATCAAAAGCAAGCCCTTCCGATGACCACAGCAACCGCCAGACACACCCCCCCACAACCCACGACTCCGACCTCGCTTGCTGCCACTGCTGTGAAACCTGCGACCCCGAACCCTCGAAAAAGGATGGTGGGCGAGTATTTCACACCGCTATCCTGGGACCGAGACCCCTCATGGCTCTGGCGCAGATGATCGCCCGCGTGGCCAAGCAGAGCCTTAGCCTGGGAGTGGGCCTTCGGGGTGGATCGGTTGTTTGTTAGCCTTTGCAAACTCGGAATGCGGGAAGAGAGGCATCGACATCGTAGGTATCCAGGAGTCCCGGAGATAACACAAATGTGTTACAGCGGCCTTTCGCCTTCCCAAGGCCAAGAACGGTCGCAGAGGCATAATGGCGTGTAGAGATGGCCAGAGCTGGCCCTGCTGCATGTCAAATGCTGCATGTCAAGATGGCAGATCAAAGAAAGCACCTAAAAAACAAGAAGCAAGACTTTCCGTTCAGGAGTGGTGTGGCCTTCTTCTTTGACCGCCAGGAAGCCGAACGGTGGTGTGCGGAGCCTGTGCGGCTTGGGGCCTAAGGCTTAGGGCCAGGGACTCGCTATGAGCCTGAAGAGCTCAGTCAATAAGGAGAACACGGGTTCAGAATCCCGTCGTGTGTTTAGTGTGTTTCAGCATGTTTCACCTTGCACCAGATGATCAATTCTCAAAGAAGGGCTCCTTTCAGCAGGCACCTTGCGTTATGCCAAAGAGACCCCAAGAGGGCTTCTGACAACTGCTGGATGAGCTTTTGCACAGGCACAAGCAATGGCCCGACAGCTGAAAGTAGCCTATGACTGGTACTTGGAGATTCGCTGGTAGCTAGAATCGTGTGAAGTGCCAGAAGCACTGCGAGAGTGCTAATCCCTGCACGTACCATGAATCTTCGAGCGTTCCAGGAATTTGAGCCTTAGTGCGCACCGAGGTTCGAACATTGCAGATCCGATATCATCTGTCCAGTTTTCAGGAATTTTTGTGGGTTTTGGGCATGTGGCGAGCGTGGTCGCCCACGCTCTGCAAAAGCCGCTGTGGATCCAGTCCGGGCATCCTGAAGCCCGCAAACCACGTGCCAGCTTCGCAGCAAAAGAGTGGCTTTTCGGCTGCAAACGCTGAGGTATCCGGATCACAACCCCCTAATCTTCCTAAAGCCGGGGGAAACGGGGCCGCTCAATCTTCGACCCGGGATTCCCGGGTCGAGGCGTTTTGCTGGTTTGAACAACCCCGATCCCCCCCTGCGCTTAAACTGTTGAACCCAAATCCTCAAAAACCCAAACAGCCTCATTTCCCCCCTTCCATGTTTGGCACCTGTTTTGGGCCAAAGACCACGATTCCCCTCCAGGTAACATCTAGGGCCGAAACCCCAACAGCCCCAAAACCCCCTCAACGAACTCGGCTCTAGGGTTTAGAGAAAAGTCTAGGTTTTGGGGCCTGAAGAAAACTCATCCCGCTCCTTTTGTAGCCGAAGACAGCCCACACATCCCTGAATAAGCTCGGGGTTTGCTTTTCGCTCAGGGTTAGAGGGTGCTTTGCACAACAAACCGCGTCCGACTGGCACCTTCTCACGCTTTTCTCACGGTGGGGGATTTGGGCTGCTGAAAGCCAAACGACGACTTGCGGAAAGCACGGCCCCGGGGCACTCACGATTTCTCACGGTTTTCTCACGGTTTTTTGGACGAGCATAAACGTGATTGACACTTTCATTCTTGTCGCCTTTTCATCTTATCTTTCTCCCTTGTATCTATTCTACCTCTATCTTTATCTTTTCTATCACTAGTCGAAAGTTGTAATCGTAAAGGCTTAGGTCCTAGGTTTTGTGCATTTGGATTCATCTTTGGAATCTCCGGCATATTCATATCAGTTCTAATAGAATGATATTCAACACGACTTCTTTTTAAGTAGTGCCTGGCCTAATTGGTAGACTGTTAAACTATGTTGTACCTGTCTTTCAATGTATCCTGGAATTCCTGGAGTCAGTATATTTCAATCTTAATTCTGGATTTATTTTGCTTTCATGTTTGTTCCTTTCCTAATCCTTTCAATAATGTTAGAGTTTGGAGGCGGTACAGGATGAACTTTTATTCCACCAATCATCATCACCTTCAAGTCACGACATCTTATATTTGGAGTGTTCTCTGGTACATCTTCATGTCTTACATCTTCTAACTTTTGGACAACAAGGGAAAATCTGAGATCTTAAGAATTTTGACGTTTTTCATCTCCCATTATTTCCTTGGGCTGTCTTGATTGCAGCTTTCATGCGGGTTTTGACAGTGCAAACCTTATCTGGTGGACTTCGTCTTTTTTGGGTGATCTTCATTCCAATGCAATTTTTCTTTGATCCTTTACTTGGAGGAGATTTGGAACATTTTTTTTTGGACATCCCTTAATTTTCGTAATTCCCGTGTCTGAAAATGGGCGCCTCCTTGCGGAGCGAGGAGAAATGAAGCAACTCGTGCATTCCGGCTGAGTTTTCTTGATACCGGAGGCGGACGATTTGGTGTTCAATCGGGTTGCATTTATGAGGCCACCGGATCTCCAGAGGCTGCAGGGTGAATGGAACACAACAGAAGCCAGGGGCCCAGAGTTTGGGACAGACAATGTCTTCGCTCATGCGGGTTTCGCACTCTTGCACAGGTTCTCACACAGGCTCAGAGTGTCGCATAGCAAGACAAATCATGGGATTGAATTCTGCAAGAAAGATGATGCGCGGCTGACAGTTGTGGGAAGCATTCGAGGTTGAGAGAGTGGGGTGTCGGGGGCTTTCGGTCTCGATGTGTTCTGGTTACGTGTATTCTATGAGGGTGCGTTGTTGCACTACACAGCTCATGTTGCATCATTGTTTTTGCATCTTGCTGTACGAGCTAAAGCCTGGCATTTGAAGCTGCAAGGGCTCCTGCGTTGGCCAAATCCAGGGCGGCTGCCTCGTTTGGCACCGGACAGGGGCTCGGCATGATCTGTGTTGTCGAGAGTGACCGCGCTTGCATGTGCCGTGACACTATCATTGGCGGTAGCTGCCCGGTAGCTCAGCAAAAAAATAACAGAGGTACTACCTCAGCAAGCGCAGCAGCCACAGCAGCAGCATCATACTGAGTTACTGTCCCTGCAGTCGTCGTGGTAGTGCATGGTGGCGCTGCTGTTGGGTGGTTGTCGTCGCACGTCGTAAAGTAAGCTTGCATGCTGCATTCCTTGCACACCTTCTCCGCTTCAGGGCTGCCTGAAACCCCGAGCTAAACAGCATGATCTGCTTTGCCAGAAGTGATCTTTGTTCGAGTTTGCCGCGCCTCCCAGCTGCCCGAAGAACAGCCAAGACTGACGGCCTTCAGCATAATACACGCCACAAGCTGTGGACCTTGAACGCTGCGGTGCATGTTTGGGAGTCATAGGTTATGATAATATCATATTATGTCATGATCATGGCATGAAGCGGCCAAAATGCCGCGACTCGACTGCGCAGGTCTTTCGCAGCTCACCCGACCAATTTGACGATGGAAGGCGGCTGCATCCTCAGAGCTCAGGATAATTCTTGATGTGAAGCATGAAGCTGTTCTTTTTTGTTTGATTTGTTTCCTGGGCCAAGAAGAGCTCGAGGCCGCATCCTCATGGACATGGGCTCAGCAACGCAAACAGCAGGGCCCTCGGGAAGCCGCTTTGGAAGTTGGGGTTGACTTCAACATGTGCGAATATCTAGAATCTAGACATTCGATTTTCTGGCTCGGCCCAGGCTGTTGTTGAGTGGGGTCCACCTGCTCGGCTGAAGTGGGATGACGGTGACGAATGGGTACGTGTTGAGAGCAGTCCAACGGCCAATTGTAGCGAAAAACATCAAGAGTCACGATTCCTCTTTGGCCGCGGTGCTTGCGCAGATTTCTCGTGGCCCAGAGCCCATGACATGCGCAGCCGCTCTTTCGCAACGCATCGTGCAAACCAGCCGCTGGCCGCAGCCCTTCACGCTTCATCCAGGCTCAGGTAGCGCTAGACCTAACAGCCTTCTGATGTCGAGTGCCCTAGACTCCGCACCTGTAGCCTTCGCCTCACGCGGCCCGCCATCTTACAGCAACCTCAGGGTGGCCTTTGCAAATCTTGACATGACCAAGATGGCTAGCTCCTAGCTCGTGCGAACTCTGCAACCAAGCTGGTACCCAAGCATCAAGATACCGAAAATAACAGCAGCTTCAGACAAGCCGTGGCGCAGTGGATGTGCCGCCGTAGATGCCTGATTTGGCTCATGTGTCCATCCTGGTCAAGCTTGTGCTTTGCGGGCCTGCAGCCCAAAAGCCTTCCCAGGGCCTCCAGGGCCTCGTGTGTGGTGCTCCTGCGGCATGGGGAGCGTGAGGATTACATGGCCGAGAAGGCTGGGAGAAAACCGTGGAGCTGCTGTTCATCCCGCATCAAGGTGATTGAGTTCGGGGGCCTCAAGCTTCATGAAATTGATCCCTGAATCTGGGACCATGTCACATTTAAGTTCTGGTAGTGGGTTCCAGGCCGGCAGAGGTGCAGAGTGGATCGCTGCCGCGGCCCGGCCCTGGGATCCGCCGCTAGCAGCCAATGGCCGGCAGCAGGCAGAAGCGGCAGCTGCACGTCTCCGGAAGGCGTGTGGCAGTGATCGATTTGAGTTCGGGTTTCGGGTTAGGGTTTGTAAGGGTTCAGTCAGGGTTCAGGGTTCAGGGTTCAGGGTTTAGGGTTTAAAGGTTTAGGGTTTAGGGTTTGCTGTAATATGGCGCCGATGCTGTGAAGATCAGGAGGCAGAAACAGGCTCCAAAGCTTCGTCAGCTGCGAGGATCAGCTTTGGCCCGATTGTGGAGGGCCATCTAATGCCTTTCTCCCACCCCACACCGTCCAAGGCGGCAAAGCCACCCTAACCTATTCTTTTTCGGGTTTAGGCCTAAACTCAAGTCAATTGCCTCCAAAACACCTCTGCCGCCACCGATGGCGTGCCAGCCAGTTCCCAAGCTCTATAAAAGGGGTGTCCCAAAATGGTGCCAAACGTGTGCCAGCAAGGGTGAGAGGGGGTCAAGCGGGGTCCCAAGGCGGGGGGGTCTCAGAGGGGTCCCAGCAGCGGGCTTTCTCTCCCTCCACTGAGCTGCCTGGTTTTTGGGCACGCTGCATCGACAGGTCCGGGACCCTGGCGGATGCTTGGGTTTAGGCACTCCGGTGCCATCATCGTGGGGAGGTGCTTGCGCCATCAAGGTCAAGGGGTTTTTTTAATGCCGTAATTGTTGGGGCGCGGCTTTGGCTTTGAGTTCATGAGTTCAGGGATTAAGGTTTTTAGCAGGGCACGAGTCTCTTGCTTCTCGTCAAGAAGGTGAGGATAGGCAGGCGTCTGGCAGATGCATGCACAAGCGGGTGGGCAGTGGGGATTCCGAACCGGGTGGATCGAAGACTGCGGCAAAAAGAGGCCCTTTAAGCAATGCTGGTTCGGTTCAGCAGGCAGTTTCTGGCAATTCCGGCGGGGAAGGTCAGATCAGAGAGGGATGGGATTTAGGGTCTCCATTTCCAGGCTATCTGTGAGGGGTTCTTGTGAAAATGAAGCAGACTCCCCTAAATCATTCCTGCTGGGCCCCTCTGCGAAGAGGTACTTGAGTCGGCAGGGCTGCCGATGCCAACTCAGATCTTCTGCTCGCCGCTGGTACGTTGCGTCGAGACCGCTGACTTTGTTGCGAAAGAGTTCGGCGTGAACTCCCTGTATGTTGAGGCAGGGGTTCGGTACAGATGTTTGGGTGCTGGGTGAGCTAGAGGTGACCAATGGTTACTACCCATGGGTCAGGCACAGTGCCTCCTGCCTCTCCATCTCTTTCCTCTTCTCTAAATATCCATCCGCAGAATGGCTTGGCCGAGTCTGTCTATGAGGCCTGGATGAGGCGGCACGGCTTTAAGTTCGGAAGCGGTTTGAGGGACGTGGCTGTGGTCGCGAGCTAGAAATTGGATTCAAGGGTTCAAGCTGGAGGTCGAAGCGCTTCAAACTTCTTAGTCCCAAAGTTTACACGAGCTTTTGGGTTAAGGGACTTGGGGCTTACTTCCGGAGATTTTCAGGCTTCGTGGATTGTGAGCTAGGCCAGAGGCTCTTTTTCCATGTTTACATTCGCCACATGTTTTGCTCAGAATGGCCCACCATACTATCCCATAGCGAACCTACAAGCGTTGTTGCCCTCAAGTCTCCGCTGGAAAGGCAGTGGGCGGTGCCGGGCGCCAACTCCAAGTGGGGCGGGCCACCAGGCTGCGCCATACCTCAGGACTGTCGGGCTTCCTCGAGCTTTAATTTGAATATTATTCCTACTAATTTAGTATTATTATTGTTCTTCGTTTTTTAAGGATGTCGGGCTTGCAGGCTCAATGGATCTTAAGAGGGTGAGGTAGGTATTGTCTCGGATATGCACATATAGATGGTAGAAGCCTGGCCATGTCTCAATGAGTCTCAATGTTTTCCCGTAGAAACCTCTCCAAAGCCTGTCGCGCCTTCTGCTTCGGATTTTTGCTGCTCGCACGCAACGTGCTGGTCTAGGTTGCAGCTGTTGTGTTCTCACCGCGGGCTGTGGGACCTTGGAGGCTTGTTGTGGCTCCATCGAAAAACCGAACGCCACACTGATCTACGACTCCAAGCCCTCAACACCCCAGTCCGTGACATCTCAAGACCCTACTGTACGCAGGAGCGTCAGGGATTGGACCCTCGAAGGCTGCGTGGGCCAGAGGTCCCTCACGCCCAGCTGCGCCCAGAAGCCTCAGCAGGAGCTACGGTTGTAAACGGGGTGCCTGTCAATGAGTGTGTATGGTTTTGGAAGTCACTTTCAAGACTTACATAGTACCGGGCAGCACCTCCAAGCAGCCTGCTCGTTCCCTGCCCAGAAGAAGAGGACGATTCAGAACCACTTTGCCACAGTCGTTGGCCCTCAGCCCCAAAAACAGGCACCGCCGCCTTGCTGTCCACGCCAGCCGAGCTGAAAGAGGCCGGCTGGACGCGCGTCGACGCCAAGTACGAGAGCTGCGTTGCCTTGCACGATGCTTGCCTGCACGCACGGCTTTGTAGGCTCTGGATTGTGAAATTCTCGGGCTTTCGGGCTTTCGGGGCTTCCTGAAGTTACATGGGGGGAGGGGGAGGCTTGTCTTTCCGACTCCGGCTTTAAAGGGCCTCCGGTTCGGTTGACCTGGGCTCATCCTTTGAGTCTTCCCCCCTGCTGGGTCAGGATGAAGAAGCTGCACGTTGATAGGGTTTGGAGGGTTCGGGATTGACTCGAAGTGTTGCTTAGCCTCCATGGCCTGAGACTGAATGCGTATTGGTCTCGGACCCAAAAGGCGGAATCCGTCTCCCCAACGAAGCTCCAGGACAGGGGCTACTGTTGGGACAAGTTTGAGATCCAAGAAGAGATTATCGACCGCCTCCTCTACGTGGCCCGCCTGCGAGCCATGGAACATCCTGGAGAGCCCGGGCCGCCAAGCTGGGGCTGGGGCTAGGTTATGCTAGGTTCGCTGGGTATCATGAACCACAACATGGCCACTGCCATACAACGGAGGCAGAACGCAGAAGACCATTAAGACTGAGGACTGCAGTTGCTCTGCTCTTGCAGCTTAATTGCCCCCGCCCCTTCAAAAACAAAAAGCAGAAGCAAAACCAGATTCTGCACCCGGCTCCTTTCTGTCCGCCTCTTGAACCCAAAAAGATCTAAGATTCCCTGTCACATCCAAAGAAGGCGGTTTGGGGTGATGGCAACTAAGGAGACGGTGGTCTTGGTCTCGCATGGCGGGCCGACGCAGTATGCCCTGAGGGCCCTCTCTGGTCAGAAGCCCAAAGGCTCCACGGTGGGGCTGTGCGGTGGGTTTAGGAAGCTGGGTTTTGTAAAAGAAAAACGGTTCCGAGTTACAGGTATGTTGGGTTGTTTCTTGTCACTTTTTTCTTTGGGGTGGCTTTCTTCGGGATCTCCACATGTCAGCATACACTACCTGGTCAGCCGGCAAGCTCAGGGATTTTCAGGGTAAAGGGCCCCAGAGGCTCAGACCACTTCGCAATTCCGAAACCTGGCAGCAAGGTTCAGGAGTTCACTGAAACGTCTTCCAAACCAGCCCAACCAGCGCAGGAATGTTAGCAGATTCCATGATGTGCAAGCCACTCCCCCAAAGGCATCCTAACCGGAGCCAGCTTCATGCTCACGTTTGTGCTGCTACTTTTACCTGAATTTTTAACAGCCCACTCAGCAGCAGCCCACCCCCGCCCCTTCTCCCCGGAAGGAAATTCCTCAACCTTAATTTAAATCAAAAGTCGGGCTTTCGGTTGTGCCGTTTCATCTGGAATCCTGCGTCGAGCTGCAGTCGGACCCCGCTGCGCCTGCCTTGAGCTGATAACCCAACTAGCCCAATGTGCGTCACAGTTCAGCTGGGTGGGTGACAAATATCTCAATTCCCAAGAGACAAGAATCTGATTGCTGAACCCATGCCACCAAGCCTTGGGAAGGTGAGGGTGGCATGACGGCGCTGTCCGTCCTCCGCACGTTTCCGAGCGACATCGAGCATGGAATGCCATGGGAAGTGTTGCTGTCGAACGATGCGTCGCACGCCCAGGCGGGCTGCTGTTAGGGAACAGAGAGGATCTTTGTTCAGGTCTTGACATTTGGAACCAGCTGCCTAAGCCTCCTAGAAGTTCGTGACCTCCTGCTAACAGCCAACTCCCTCGATAAACAGGGTACGTAGCTTATAGAGCGCGAAGTTGTTAAGCCGAAGTATTCCCGTTGCGCATAGAAGGCTGCGCAATGGGCTGTGCAGCTCCCACTTGTCATTCGCCGCAGGCATTTGCCTATGGTGAGGAGACCAAGATTTGACTGGGCAGAAGTGCGGCACAAATGGTTCGGATGAGTTGCCTTGTGTGTCCTAGCCATTCATGTCGTTCTGCATAGCGTGAAGACGGCCATAGCTTGTCATTGAGGGTCGTGTGCTCACCATTCAAGCCGGCGGCTGAAGATCAACCTCCTGTGTATCTGCAATCCATGCCAACTGTCTAAAGCCCGAACAGACGAGCCAGGAAGTCGCATGTCATGCTCGCAAAAGTTTGTTGTTGCGCAGCACCTTGCTGGTTACGATGCTGTTGGGGACAAGGCTGCTTACACACGACAGTTGCGTACATCACGCCGTGAGCTGCGACTACCGGCAAGAAGCCCCGCGGAAGGTTGCAATGAGTTCATGGCCAGCCCGATGTATCCCAGGATCACATGAGTCTTGCCACTCTTTATACTGCAGAGAAGCTGCTTGTTCCGTGGACCGCTGCCCCCATGGATGCGGCTGCCCTCTTTGAGTGCCCCAAGTGGGAGCTGACGCCCAAGCAACAAGTCACTGTGGCGGCCTATGCCAGAGAGCTGGGCAATGAGCAGATGCAAACTGGAAAGCATGAGGAGGTGCTTGTTAGCAGAAGGGCATGTGATGCGACAATTTTTTGGTTTCCAGACTGCATGCCAGAAGTGTTTCAAGCTTAGAGTTGACTTCACTGCTATCTCTCCCGATGAACACAATGGACCCCCCCCCATGTCTTTCTTGATGGGACCGGTGTAGGACGGACAAGGAGATTTAAATTTTGAATAGGAGGGATGGCTTAAAGAAGGTTTGATTGAATGTCTAAAAACTTCAAGGGCTGAAGGACGATTCAGAGTGAGTTCTGCAGAAGGGACCCCTCTGTCCCTTTTGCGCTAAGCCTGTTGTTCGGATCCCCCTCCCCCGCCCCTTCTGCCATCTATATGTTGCTTTGACTCCCCAAGCCTTTTTTGTAGACGCTTGCCGCAAACCGCAAACCTGGTTTTGCCGCCCCCCCCCCCCCCCCCCCCCCCCCCCCCCCCCCCCGGCTACACAGGATTATTCCGCGCCCTATCCGACAGTTTCGTCGTCCCTGGCCTGCCGTTGACCCCTCGTGGCTGCTGCTTGCTCATTGTTCCCCACCCTCGGTGTGGGGTTGCTAGATTTTAAACTGGAGTGTCCGCCCAGAGTCTCCCTGAAGTGCTCAACCCCAGATGTCCGCCGGAGTGCCAGGCCCAGAGTCTCCCTGAAGTGTCCAACCCAGAGTCTCCCTAGAGTGCCCACTGCAGAGCGTCCCCGGAGTCTCCGGTGCCCAACCCCAGTCTCTCTGGAGTGCCCAACCCCAGAGTGACCCAACCCCAGAGTCTCAGAGTGTCCCCGGAGCGCCCAGCCCCAGAGTCTCCCTGCAGTGCCGAACCCCAGAGTCTCCCTGGAGTGCCCCAAGCCCGAGTGCCCAGCCCCAGAGTATCCTGGAGTGCCCAACCCTAGAGTATCTCTATCAAGACAGGGTGGGGATGTTCGAAGTAAAATATTTTTTCCTGCCTTTTGCTCCCCACGGCCGACAAAGGTCCGGTTACCCTCGATGAAGCTGTTTTCTGATACCGCGCGTGATATCCTGTGATCCTGAGCCCCGGAAGCTGATTTGTCTTGACCACCCCGCTGCGAACACAGGTAAACCCTTTGCAATGGTCTCCAAGCCTCACCTTCCTAGAAAAGGGTCAGACAAGAGGTGCATTCTGGGAAGCTCAGGGTAGGGGGGCAGCAAAAACCACGGGTGACAAAAACGGATTCTGGCTTCCAGAGTCAAACAGGCTGGATTTGGGACAGGCTTTACTTCTCAGCCAACATGTGAAGGAAGCAATGACGATTTCTCTCTTTTTCCCCACCCTCGGTGTGGGGTTGTTAGATTTTAAGCTCAACTCTTCTCCTCGCCCGGAACTCTTCTCCTCGCCCGGTCTACTCCTCGCTCATCCCGGGAGTGCCCAACCCCAGAGTGTCCCTGGAGTGCTCAGCCCCAGAGTGTCCCTGGAGTGCCCAATGTCAGCTTTTTCACCGGGTTCCCGTGTCGCAGGCTGAGCTTCATTTGAGATGGTGTACATTAGGTGTACATCATGCAGCATGTTGGCATCAGGCCTTCCAGTTGTACAAGAAGGCACTCTTCATGGTGGAGTTCGATGAGGAGCCGCATTCTGGTGCCTAAAACCCCTCCCAGCTGTAGTTTTGATTAGTAGTTTAGGGTTCAGGCTTTAGGGTTTAGGACATTAGGTTAACGGCAAAGAAGGACTTTCACGAAGACGAGGAGGGTGAGAGCCGAGGCCCGCTCCCTGCGCTCAACGAAGTGCACAAGGAGCGGGAGCGGTGCGCCTCGCTCATCTTGCTGGGTTTGTTTTTTTCTGCGCTGCTCCTGAGTTTTGAGACTTCGGGCTTGTAGTTAGAAATTGAACTGTAGTGATTTGGAGAGGCCACAAGACCCAAGGCTTGGGGAACATTGCCGCAGCTGCTTTGCTCCTGGCTTCGGCGAGTTCTGATGAAGAGCGCAGACGCGAAGAAGGCTTCGCAGGCGCGGTGCCTTCCAGTTCTTAGTTCTCTTCTCGAAGGAATGCTCCCTCATGATTCACGTGTTTTTTCCTAGGTCCTAGGTTCTGGTTTTGAACAGCAAGATCGAGAGCGAGAGAGAGACAGAGAGCGAGCAGCCCGCCATTGGTTTGCGCGCAAAGCCTCCTGAAAGGGGGGAAGAGGATTGCTGGCTAGGCGTTGAGGGCTTTGGGGGGTGAGGACTCAGTCGTTCCAGCCGAGAGGTCTCGATACAGGGGCGGACGTGACGTCCGGGGGGGGGGGTCGAGAAAGAAAGAAAAAGAACTGAAATTAGAGGGGGATGCGGGCCATGAGTCGGAGGGAGGGGGAGAGAGCGAGAGAGAGAGAGAGAGAGCGCGAGGGGGAGGGAGAGAGAGAGAGAGAGAGCGGGAGGGACGGAAGGAAGAGGGAGAGAGCGAGCGAGAGAGATAAAAAACAAACAGTCCCCGGGCCATTGACGTGCCGCAGACGCGCCGTGTCTCGCCACAGACGCGCTCCTCTCAGGCTCTGTCATCCCGGCTCACGCACACAGCGATTCTAGTACTACTTGTACTACAACGAAAATCCTATCGGCTTCCCGTGCCACTGACGCGCCGCAGACGATGCCCATTTCGTTTTCATCCCCATCGTTTGATCCCCGCGCCATTCCCACAGTATCGCTCTCTCGCGTTTTGAACCTAAACGAGAACTCAACATCCGAGATGTTTTGGGAATGACGAAACATGAATATGTAGAAATACAGCAAGAAAGAAACAGAGGCATAAAGAAAAGCAAACATCAAGAAAGAAATAAATAAAGAGAAAAAAGAGGAAGAAGAAAAATAAGAGGAGGAGGAGGAGGCCATCAAGCCCTGAAAAAGGGGATGCAGATGGAGTTGAGGAGAAGAAGTGAGAGAGAAGAAGAGCGAAGAAGAGAGAAGTAGATAGCAGAACTGAGAAGAAGAGACAAGAACAGAGAAGAAAACGAGAGCAGGAGAAGACTAGAGAAGACGAAGGAAGATGAGAGAAGAAGAGAGAAGGAGAGAGAAGGAGAGAGAAGGAGAGAAGAAGCGAGAGGCATGAGAGAACAGAGAGAGAGAGAGAGCCACAGCATGCATGCATCATGCTTTCCAGGCAGAGCAAAGCGATACTCTGAAAGAGCCCTGCGCCTAAATGCAGGAAGTGCAAAGTTGTGGCAGCTCGGCAGATACCGGCTATCCCAGCCGGCTATTCCTAAATGAACCATGCCTGTCACGCACACATGGCTGAGGAAGAGCGAGAGGATTGGTTTCCTTCAGAAAGCGATCTCTCATTCCCAGCTTGAAGCCTTTCCTTTTTAAACAGTGGTTGTGGAAGAAGCGGTGGCAATGCGATCTAAGCTCGGCGCAGACTCCCATCCTTGAAGGCTCTCTGATATGCCTAACTTATCTGGAAGTAGTTTGCGCGGTTAGCCACTCGTGCGCGGCCTTCCTAAGGTTTCGAAAAGGACGCGCCGAGATCATGATGACCGATTTTGCTGCTGCATTAAAGAGCCTTACCGAGGCTGCCCGTTTGGCGTGGCTTTGTGGCAATGGGTGAGCCAGTGAGTAACAGATGTCACCCAAAAGCCACAATGCCTGAACCTCCACTGCGCAAGCAAGGCCCTCAGATCCAGAAGTCAGAAAGCACTGGCACGAGGTTCGCCAAATAGGGTTTCACAATCGTGTCTTCGCAAGCGGGCGCACTTAAATGCGTGTCAATCGGCCTGACGAGGCAAAAGCCGCATGCAAGCTGGCCGAAGATGCCCATCGCACAGCTGTTAAAGCCATGGGAAGTTCTGCCCTATGGCAAGATGCACAAGTGGACCAAAGGCCTCAATGTTGCTGTGCAAAGATGCGTGTGATTTTGAGGTTTTTTCAAACCATTCCTGCCCTGCAACAGGAGCGAACCAAAACAGCAGAAAGGTTATGAGTCCGAGCAGGCAAGGCCCTTTGCTAAGTGTCATGCCGACTGGTTTGCGGATTTGCTTTGCAATTTGCAGGAGCGTGCAGCGCAGATCGAGTACAACAAGCGGCAACTTTTGTTTCACATCGAGAAAAACAAGAAGAAACCGGACAGCGAGGAAGAGGACAACGACGTGGATCCAAAAATGACAGCCGAGAAATTGCTACACAACTCAAATTTCCGGTCAGTATGATCATCATGATTTGATATATACATATATATATATATATATATATATATTTATTTATTTATATTTATTTATATTATATTCTGATTGGGAAAATGGGATTATATAATGTTCTTTATGACGAGGTCTTTTATCGGGAGGAGGTTTGGAATTGAAAATTGAATCATTTGGATTTTTTCTTTAATTATTATGGAATTTTCTCATTATTCTGGGGAATATATCCCCATAAAAGGCTACGGGCTCGACCCTATTTTCGCTCTGCGGCCGCCCTGTCGGTTGCCCCGCCTCCTCTTCCGGTCAATTTGGCTGCGTGTGAGGGCCTTGCAGGGGGATCCGGAAAATTCCGGGAATTTTCAAGCTTCTTGTCTAAAAATCCTAGGAATTTTGGGAATCACCCGGATCTGAAAATTCCCGGAATTTTCGGAATCACCCGGATTGAGGTTTAGGCTTTCCGGGTTGGATTTAAGGTTCCAGCGCAACAGTGATGACGTGGGTGCCCCTTCACCTTCAAGGAAATCTTCAAGGAAATCTCTTGGTCCAGGGTAGTTCCGATGACGGTCGCCGCCCGCCAGCTGTTCAAGGGGGTTCGGCCTCACCATCACATATCAACAACAGCTCTCGAAAAATCCTAACAATTCAAAATTCCGGGAATTTTCGGGATCCCCCGGGTTCAGGGTTTTACGCTTTACGGTGTAGGGTTTTAGGGTTTAATAGAAATTGTATAGGGTTTGTGTCCGGAGTTTTGTCGTGGTTTGGGGGGTTTCGTTTTTTGCTTTTGCTGTAATGGTTTGGGTTCTGTCGGGTGTGGTGGGGGGTGGGTGGTTTTGGGGTGCTGAGGGGTTGGGGCTGAAAGGCTGGGGTTTTGGGGGGTTTTGGGGGGTTTTCCCGAATGCCCGTGGTGGTGGTCCGTGGTCCCCTGGTGGTTCGTCGTGGTGGTCCCACAGCGTGGTGGTGGTCCCGTGGTGGTGGTGCTCCTTTGGTGGTGGTGGTCCTGTGGTGGTCCGTGGTGGTGGTGGTGGTGGTGGTGGTGGTGGTGGTGGTGGTGGTGGTCCCTGGTGGCCGTGGTGGTGGTCCCGTGGTGGTGGTCCTATGGTGGTGGCCGTGGCGGTGGTCCGTGGCGGTGGTCCGTGGCGGTGGTCCGTGCGTGGTGGTGGTCTCGTGGTGGTGGTTCCGTGGTGGTGGTCCCGTGGTGGTTGTCTCGTGGTGGTGGTGCCGTGGTGGTGGTCCCGTGGTGGTGGTCCCGTGGTGGTGGTCCGCGGCGGTCGTGGTGGTTGGTCCGTGGTGGTGGTCCGTGCCGGGGGTCCGTGCGGGTGGTCTGTGTTGGTGGTCGTGGTGGTGGTCTCGTGGTGGTGGTCTTGTGGTGGTGGTCTTGTGGTGGTGGTCTCGTGGTGGTGGTCTTGTGGTGGTGGTCTCGTGGTGGTGGTCTCGTGGTTGTGGTCCGTGGTTTATATTATATCATATTTTGCGATGAACATGATAGTTTTCTATATTCGGGATCGTGGTTCTTATTAGTTTGTTTTTTGCTTTTGTTGT